CATTCATCCTCAGGCCAGGAACCAGTGAAGCCAAAAGAAGTCTTACTCCCCTCCAGTTGTTTCTCTTGTGTATTTGTCACTGGGTTTTGGAAGTTGTCTCAAGCCATGCCAGGCAGCTTCCCCACATGGATTTTGTTTTAGGATGGATCTTCAGTCTCTGGGAGTTCTGCCTTTGACCCCAACAGAAAGATAATGAGGCCCTTGAGTTTTCTGATAGTGTAAAAGGAGGTTGAGGCTAAAGTTACCAAGACCTGGATAACTGGTGGGCACTAAGTTTGGCTGTCATACTAGCCCTGTGCCTTGCTGTGACAGGCTTGAGAGATCCATTCTGTGTGCCTTGTGGGCATCAGGAGAGGGCATCATGTGGGGCTAGCACAGTTTTGGTTCTTCAGGAAAACAGTGACTCAAGGAACAGTGCAGCCATCTTCTGGACCAGCTCTCCTCTCTCGGTCCCCCTTATGCTGTATACTAGTTCCTGGAATTATGTAATTTTTAAAGATTCATCATATATATATAATATATATGTATATATATTATATATGTGTGTGTGATTGTGTGTATGCAATGTCCATGAAGGCCCAGAGAAGTATCAGTTCCCCTGGAACTGGAGTTACAGACAGTTTTTGAGGCACCATATGGTTGCTGGGAACAGAACCCCAGTCTTATGGAAGAGTAGCATTGCTCTTATCTGCTGAGCCATCTCTCTAGCCCCTGTGTGGTTTGTTTGTTTTAAGGTTTATTTATTTATAATGGATACAGTCAGTGTCCTGCCTGTGTGTTGTATGCATGTCTCCAGATCTTATTACAGAGGGTTTTGAGCCATCATGTGGTTGCTGGGAATTGAATTCAGGACCTTAGGAAAAGCAGCCAGAGCTCTTAACTGAGGACCCATCTCTCTGGGCCCCAAGTGCAGGCAGCAGGAAGAGACTGAGGCACATTTCCTCCAGCAAACTACACCTACTCCAATAAGGCCACACCTACTCCAACAAGACCACACCTACTCACAAGGCCACACCTACTCCAACAAGGTCACACCTCCTAATAGTGCCACTCTCTATGGGCCTATGGGGCCATTTTCATCCAGACCACCATAGTCATGACAACTGTCTTCCTTTTCCTTTCTGCCCACTGTGCATCCTAGGTTGCTGCTTACTTGGCCCTTGTTTGCTTCTGTCTGGGTTGCTCCTTCCACAGCTCCATGGTTTCCCATTACATGTCTCCACCCTTAGTTGAACTGGCCTTGTCTGTACCCTGGTCTTAGTTTATCTTTTTCCTAATTCAAGTTCTTACACCTGGACCTTCTACCATCTGCAGGGGAAGTGAGTCCTGCTTTGAAATCACTTCCTCCTCCACAGCCTTCTCCCCCATCGTGTCACTACTCCACAATGGCTAGCATCCTCCACTGTGTTTTTTTCTGGTGCCAGTCCCGCACTGGGAGCCCCCTGCCCTTCCTTATCAACGCTCCACGCCCCCTCCTGCCATAGCCTGCCGGGTGCAGGGGTTGACCAGCTCTCTGTGTCTCTAGCAACTGTGTGGTGTGGTTTCTTGAACCCTGCACATTTGCAGGCTGTCTTCTGTCCCCCCCACTGGAATGACAGGTTAGTGCTCCACACCAGACAGCAGGTGGAAGCTGGTAGGGAACAGGCCGTTCTGAAAATCCAGGGAAGATTCCAGCGTGTTAAGTTCTTAAAGGATGGTGTTTGGGGACTAACTGCCTTTCTGGCCCTTCTCTCTCACCAACCATCAGACTGGAAGAAATCGGTGATTAAAGTTGTGACTGAAAAGGTCACATAGCTCATAACTCCCCCACTTAGAGATTTAAAAAATAGCCAAGGAAGTCTTCCTGAGGCCCTGAGCTACTGGATCATTTTACTTCTAATTATTGTTGTTATTAATTTCCGAGACAGGGTTTCTCTGTATTGCTTTGGATCCTGTCCTGGGACTAGCTCTATAGACCAGGCTGTCTTCAAACTCACTCACTGAGATCTGCCTGCCTCTGCCTCCCTAGTGCTGGGATTAAAGGTGTGCACCACCACTGCCTGGCTTTTTGAAGATTTATCATTATCTTTATTGTTTTTAATTCTCTCTCTCTCTCTCTCTCTCTCTCTCTCTCACACACACACACACACACACACACACACACACACACGTGCCCACAAAGGCCAGAGGGGATGGAGTTATAGGCATTTGTGAGCTGTCTGATGAGAGCGGTGGGAACTGAATTCAGGTCTTCTGAAAGAGGGATACATGCTCTTAACCACTGAGCCTTCTCTCCAGTCCTATTTCACTTCTGTTTTTATTTGTGATAGTTAGGATACAATTCAGAGTTAGCATTTCTGTGAGAATGGAACAGATTACTATCCTAAGGCAAGGGCTCTGTAATAATCACTGTGGAATATGATGGGCAGAGATTTCATGTTGTTCCGTGTCTTACCAATACCTGTAATAAAAATCATTCGGGATAGTGTACACATCATCCCTCCCACAGGAAACAGGTAACCTCATCTAGATCCCATTTTCCTCACCTGGCAGCTTCCTGTGTGAGTCCCAGCAGCAGGAAGTCGGCCTTCACTTGCCAGCTGGGATTGCAATGAATAGATTTGTTTTGTACAGAGAAACCTCATCTCTTTCCTAACTGCTGCTTTGTAAGACCCACTTTGGAGGCTTTGGCGTGAGTGGAAGAGGTAGACCAATGTATAGAAACTACCGATGACATGTTTTTTTTGAGAGTTTTTAAATATCTCTGAAGAGACACAAAGGGAACTTCTTAAAATAAACCCTGGGCGTAGTGATTTAGTGTCACGTTTCCTCTCATCCCACGAGGCAGAAATGGACACCTAACTGTCCTCAGCAGCAGCTCACAGCACCTGGCACAGCCTTGGTTCCCAGCTGTGCCCCCTCTCACTTCCCTGTCACCAAGGGCTGTACCAATGGCAGAGAGCCTGTGTGTGTGTGTGTGTGTGTGCGTGTGTGTGTGTGTGCGTGCACGCACACGTGTGTTTGGCGGAATGTGAGCTGCAGCCCTGTGGTTACACTGTCTCGCCCTCTTCATGTGATGCCTGGAAACCAAGATTTGTGTATCTGGTTAATGGTCTTCAGTCTGAAGGTGGTTTGGAAGTCCCTTCAACATCAGTGAGTTGGTTCTCAGAGTGGGTGTTCACTGGTGTCCTGTCCGTGCTGGTGGAGACACAGGTATGTCTGTACCTAACTTATTTCACACCCAGGCATGTCCAAAAGTGCCATTTTGTCCTAGTCTGAGGTCTCTGAGTTCACTTTCTACCTTGAGGTTCAGAAGTCTATTACTGGAGTATGGTTCTCAAGAGACAATATGGAGAAGTTGCTGTAATTTTTACCAGGGCTGGAGTGCGAGGCAACATGCATCCTAGGCAAGCATTCCAGCACTGAGTTCCACCCCTAGGGCTGCAATGCTCTTTTCAGTGGCTTATCAAAGCTGAACCTTCCCTGTCAACATCCATCCCAAGTACCTGTTCACTGGTTGATTTCATGCATGTGCCCCCGGTATCCAGCAGTATCAGGGCTCAGTACTTCCTGCTTCTCTTGGCACCCACAGCCTTGTCGTGATGTTCAGGAAGCTCCCTACTTCCCAGGCACGCTGCCCACTTAACAGAAACGCCCCCAGCATCTGCACCTGGTGTGGATATGTCCAAAAATAGTCCCTTCCTTGTGTAAACACTGGAAAGCCATAGAACTCTCTTACATGGGTTACAAACTCTGGGGTTATGGGATTTTTCTCTCTCGGTGACCTGTCTATCATTTCCTTGAGACTCTGCCCCCACCTAGGTGTCAGGGGCTGTCACTTCCTTCCCACCCTGTAGGGTTGCCAGGATTCCAGATGCCTTGCAACCTTGTTTGACCTTAGTTACAATTTACTTTTCCTCATCTATATAACAGGGGAATTCCCAGGTCTAAATGGACATTTTATGGGTTTTGATTATTCTATGGAGCTGGCAGGTAAAATACCAGGAAGAAGCAGCCACAGTCACTTAGTGGCCTGGAGCCTGTAGTGGGGTGTGTGTGTGTGTGTGTGTGTGTGTGTGTGTGTGTGTGTGTGTGTGTGTGTGTGTGTGTGTCAGGGGTGGCACAGAGACAGGCAGGTGATACAGTGCTGTGGATGGCTAGAGGTAGACTTTTCCAGACCTGGGACTATTTTGTTTATCAGTGACTTCATTGTGGACCTAAATTAGATCAACAGAAGACTGATGATAAAGAAGAAAAATGAATGGTGAAAAAAAAAAATAACTGTAGTTGTTTTGAACCCAAAGTTGTTCTGGTGGCTTCTCTGTACACACCGACTATTGTTAACTTAAACTCTTCACCTGAAAACAGCTTTCTATTTAGAGAAAAATGGTGAAGATAGTTCAGACTTCTCATGAATCCTATGCCCAGTTTCTTCTGTTATTTGTGATTATTGATTCATTGTAGGGGTAGATCCCATGGCCTAGAGCAGTCCTAAGGCTGTCACGCTTTAATACAGTTCCTCATGTTGCATTGCTACTTTATAACTATATTTTCACTATATTTATGAATTGTAATGTATATCTGATATGCAGGATGTCTTGACCCACAGGTTAAGAACCGCTGAGCTAGAGAGTATTGTATTGCTCAAGACTTAGGTGTTTTAGCAATTACACTACAGTTGGGTTTGCATTTCATTATAATACAGTGTACTTGAAATTACATCTTGTTTGTCCTGCTGCATCACAGCTGAGGTTGGGAACAGTGCCACTCACTGTCTGTGTTCCCAGTTAGCTGTCACACCTGGGGCAGAGCAACCATGGGTTTCTGTCCGTCTTGGAAAGTCCCAAGACTGTCCTCATGGAATCTGACTGTTGGTGGAATGAGAACCTGAAAACATCTTAGTAGTAATAGCTTTAAAAAGGGTTTCATCCCTGTGTTCCATCCTGCAACAAAGTGAGGTTTGCTGGTATAACACGTGGTGGTGACTGAACCAAACACCATTTCTTTCTCTTTTCTGACAGGTTTGCTCAGCACAATGGGTTGCAAAAACCTGCTTGGCCTGGGCCAGCAGATGCTGCGTCGGAAGGTGGTGGACTGCAGCAGGGAGGAGAGCCGGCTGTCCCGCTGCCTCAACACCTTTGACCTGGTAGCTCTTGGGGTGGGCAGCACCTTGGGTGCAGGTGTCTACGTTTTGGCTGGTGCAGTGGCCCGTGAGGATGCTGGTCCCGCCATCGTCATCTCCTTCCTGATTGCTGCCCTGGCTTCAGTGTTGGCTGGCCTGTGCTACGGAGAGTTTGGTGCTCGTGTCCCCAAGACGGGTTCAGCCTACCTCTACAGCTACGTGACAGTGGGGGAGCTCTGGGCCTTCATCACCGGTTGGAACCTGATTCTCTCCTACATCATTGGTACGTGTTCTGGTCCCCTCCAGCCTGCAGCATTTGTCTTCTGACCTCTATTTGTTAGGGATGCTCTGCTCTCCTCTCCTCAGAGACTGACTTGGTATGTTTCCAGGGACCCTCCAGCCTGACTACTGTTTGTGTGCCTCTGACTTTCAGCAGGGACTAAGGTGTCTTTAGGAGTCACTGTTGTGACTTCTCTCATTTTGCATCTGTTCGATGAGTTTGCTTTCTCTTGCTGTGATAAACACAACACCAAAAGCAATTTGGGGATGAAAGAGTTTATCTCAGCTTACAGATTACATTCCCAAATAACCACGCAGAGACTTATTAATTGTAAATGATCAGCCAATAGCTTAGGCTTGTTTCCAGTCAGCTCTTACAACTTAAATTAACCCATTTCTATTAATCTATATGCTGCTCAAGGCTCATTTACCTCATGTTGCTTCTTCGAGTCTGGCTCCCAACTCCTCCATCTCCTCTGACTAGGTCTTCCTTCTCCCAGCATTCTCTCTGCCCTGAAAATCCTGCCTAGCTATCTATTGGCCAATGAGAGTTTTATTAACAAAGTGAGAGCAACACATCTCTACAGTGTACAGAAGGATTATTCTACAGCAAGGGAAGTCAGAGTAGGAACCAGGAGGCAGGACCATGAAAGAGTGCTGCTTACTGGCTTTCTCTCATGGTTACTCAGCTCACTCTCTTCTGCAACCCGTGGCTGGCACCCATAGTCAGCTCATCCCTCCCACATCAATCATTAATCATGAAAAAGGCCTGAAGCCTCACCTATGGGTCATTCTGGTGGAAGTGACCCTTCAGTTAAGGCTATTTCTTCCCAGATGACCCCAACTTGCATGAAGTTGACAAAAAGCTAACCAGCTCAGCACCCATAAGCAGGGACCAAGCCAGGCCAACTGTGACAATCCCTGTTAATTCAATGAATATATGGCTGATGGGATAATTGTAATTTTAAAATGTAGTTTTGTTTTTGTTAGCACCCGTCCCCCAATTATTACAGTGAATATATCATGGTAGACAATGCTTAGGGAAGCAGAGAAAAACACAAAGAACAGAAACAGAGAAACACCAGCCTGATATTTACTGGGTATTGCTTCATTCTGGCCATTTCACTGGAGGTGTGTGATACTGTCTGAACAGTTAGGGGCATCCCATTGTTAACAAGTTAACATTGAATAGAGATGCAGAGGGATCTAACTCAGAACCTTTCGTATGCTAGACATATGTCCTTCCAGTAAGTTATAATCCCAACCCCTAAATATATATGTGTGTGTATATACACACACATATATATATTTAATCCCTTTATAAGTCAAATGTCATGATGGTTTCTTCATGGCAATATTCCTACTGACTGTGTATCATGGTGTATATAGGTTTATAAGTCTAGAATAACTTTACCCAATGTCCTTCTGCACTATTTAGATCATATCTGTTGTTTTTCATAAATAATTACTTTGTGCAATTATAGACATAGCCACAATTCCTTTCCCTTGAAATATTTAAGGGGCAGAACATCTAGAGCAAAATTTCTGCCTACTTTAAAACCTTTGTTCACTCTGGTCCTCCATCCTACCTAGCTATTGAGATTTTCTCCATCTAGTCTTAGTCCCACTGGACCAGTTTTTCTCCACCCAGTTGGGTCCCCATAGCCATTATGAAATAACCACTCTGAGACTTAACATCTATTTATAATTGTTTGGCCATTGGCTTAGGCTTCTTACTGGCTAGATCTTTCTTAATTATTACCCCATTTCTATTGATTTGTATATCTCCACATGACTTTCACTTACCAGTAATGCCTGGGGATCCTGCCTCCCTGGCACTCCTTGGTTACTCCCTGACTCCCCCTTCTTTCTCTCCATGTCTCTGTTTGAATTTCCCTGCTGGCTCTGTTCTGCCAGGGTATTGGTCAAATCAACTTCTTTATTAACCAATAGTAATAAAACGTATTCACAGCATACAGAGGGGCATCCTGCATCACCCAGCCTTTCTTCATATACTTCTCCGAGTATTAGCATTAAACACAACCACCCGTGAAATCTCAGTCCATTTCCACAAGGAAACCTGGAAGTGGTCCGGTGAGCCACCTTCAGGGACTCCCTGATCATGTCAGCATGGGGGATGCCATAACCACCTCCTTAGGTTATCAGACAGAATGCTCAGGTGTCCGGTGGGTGGTTCTTCTCTCTCCTAGCACTACAGTGTCTGTGAGCCAGCGGAGCTTGCTCTAATGGTTCTAATGTAAAATTCATAAAATTCATAATATTTCTTTTCCTGTGCAGCCTTCCGACTTGTAACCACAGATGACTCTCACATACCTACGCTTCTCGGTGGGAATGAAGCTTTTGTAAATGGGCTGGTACATTTCCAGGCGGTTTACCTGGGCATAAAACAACAGTGAGCTTGAAGTGTTTGCTGCTGTTAGAACAACAAAATAATAGTCTTTCCTGGAGTGGTGCCACTTGCCTGTGGAAGAGTCACAGAAAGGGTCTGGAAATCTGTGCTCAGCCTTAGCTACTGAGGGAGGAGGGCTTTGCAGTTTTAAGAATGTGTTTATAGTTATGTATTTGAAAGCCCTGATTCTGACATGCGAACAGCGTGGCCTGGGAAGAAAGACTAGGGTGTCCAGCAGGGTGGGGTCTGGACCGTCACTGCAGCAAGCCTGCTTCTTTGAGCACGCAAGGCAGACAGACCATTTTTCTTCATTAGTCTCGTGGCCTTCATGGACAGAATTCCTAACAGCCGGATGGAAAATGAAGTTAAATTTTTGAGTTGTTGGAAAAACATTTAGCACGAGAGCAAATAATGAAGTTGAATCTTTGTGTGAACTCCTCTGTGTTCTGTGGGTAATTTGGACCATAGCCATGGGCAAGACCCCCTGAAATGAAAGGAAAATGCCAGACACTGGCTTTCCAGTGACCTTGACAAACAGCGATGGAGAGGCGGGGGTGGGGGTGGGGCTTCGGTATAAGAGGAGAAAGGGGGCGAGGGAGCAGCCATTCCTGCCACCTGTTGGGGTACAGCCCCTTTGAGTGTTCTCTGTAGCTGGGGGACTTGGGACTAGCACATGGAGGTAGGATGATGGGCGCCTTCACCATGGTCCTGCACTCTGGGGTGTACCCTGGCCCCTGAGCTCAGGTACAAAGTGTCAGGCTGGACGACCAGGGTTGAGTGGTGGGCTTGGCCCTGAAATGGTGTCAGTCACCTTTGAGATGAGTTCTTAGGGCATGGATACCTGCTGCCACCCATTCTGATGTAGCATCTGTTGGGACTCAGCTCCTGCCCCTAGATGGTAACATGCTGTCTGTCTATGACCCTGCATGGGTGCCATAACATCAAATTTGATGAGGGAACTTTCGTTAACCACCATTCTCTAATCGTCATCATGTGTTTTGTGGCCAGGTACTTCGAGCGTGGCGAGAGCCTGGAGTGCGACTTTTGACGAGCTCATTGGCAAACCCATTGGAGAGTTCTCACGGAAACACATGTCCCTGAATGCCCCTGGGGTACTGGCCCAGAACCCTGACATATTAGCTGTGATTATAATTCTCATCTTAACAGGTAAAACCTGATTTTGACAAAAACCTTGTGTTGGGGCAATGGGTAGAACTCCTGTTGTAAGATTACTTTTTTTTTCCTTCCGTTTACTTAGGTGTTCATTCATTTACTGGCAGTACTGGGGATGGAACCCATAGCCTCACCATACGTGGCCAGTGCTTTTTCTAGCAAGCAAACCTCCAGCCCACTCGCTTTCTTACCTTTTCTCTCTGGTGCACTACCCCTCCCCATTTCTTTGGTTTCTTTTATAATAGATATGGACAGCTTGGTTTACTCCTGTTCCAACAATTGCTTACAGCTCATCCCAGGGTTGGCCTGTTGTAATAGCTGCTGAGTTCTGTGGTGAGGTTTTGTTAGTACTGAAGGCTCTTTGTCCTTTTGACTCAATGGGGGATGACCTTTCGGGTAAGAAACTAGTAGTTTTTCTGCCAGGAAAATGTGGGGCAGTGAGCTCCCTCTGGAAGAGGGATGTATGCCTGGACTTTCTAAGGCGTATTGGGTGGTTTTGCTTGCATTTCACAACCACGAAAACACCCTCTGGATACATAAGTGTGGTTGCTGAATACTGCAGGACATAGCCAGTGGCAGTTCCCTGCTAGCCACTTAGGTCTGTGTCTCTGATGTTCAGGTGAATGTCTTCCTCCACTGAGCATTTCCTAGACACACACAGGGCTTCTACATAGGCAGTTCTCATCACACAGTAGAAGTTATAAGGTCTTGGGTGAATCGCGACAGCAGCATACCTCTCCTTCTATGCTGCATAATTGAAGTCATCTCACCCAGGCCGGCCTTGACAGTATTTTTGGTTCAGCTGGCAGAAACATGTATCAGAAAAGATGTTTGTACAACTATAGTTAGATTTTTTATTTTCATAAACACATGAGTTAGGGACACTAAAGAAAAGGATACATTGGAGCATAGTGGCATCTTCCCCTCTGAGAAGTTACTAGATCAAAAGTCATCTGATGTGTTCCGTGGCTTTTCTTAGAGAGGCATGGAAGTTGCCCATGGGAAGGCCATGGGAAGGTTGGTTCCTGGGTGACACTACCCCCCTTTCAGATCCATCACGATTTAGCCATATGTTAACAGTCTTTCTATGACTGGAACAAATGCCTGAGTTCACATCGTATCAAGAACAAAGGTTTATTTAGGCTCATGGTGTTTGTGGCTTCAGGCCTTTCAGGCCTGTGTTGTGGCAGAATGTTGTGATGGGAGCATAAGGCTGAGCCAAACTGTTCATTCATGACTGGACAGAGAAAGAAAGGAAGGGATCCCATCCATCCCCATCCTGCCTTATAATCTACAATTCCCTTCAAGGGACGCCCCCATGACCTAAAGGTCTCACAGCATTCCCTACCTCCTGAAAGCTCTTTGCCTCCCAATAGTACCACCTAGTGAAATAAAATTTTATTACATGAGCTCGCTTTTGTGTGTGTGTGTGTGTGTGTGCACACACGCACACGAGTGTGTACTCTTTTATATCTACTAAGTATGAGTAGGACCACATATGCTACCAGTTCCTAGAATACAAGGAATTGTCACTACTGTCATGCCTAGTGTTGCCAAGTCAATCTTCAGCATTCCTCATCCAGAAAATGCTCGTTCTACCAAGAAGTTGAACCAAGTGACATTTCCCCAGAAAGAATAAAGTCCCTTTAACTTCCTTGAAATATCTTTCCCCTGCTTGGTGTGTGGATCAAGGCCAAGGGCTTGCTCTTTGTGGAAGGTGAGTGCCATGGCCCAGACTTCTGCAGGGCTTTAGTGAACCAAAGTAGCATCCTCAGACCCCTGAGTGTGAGCACTCCATTGTCCTAGAGCTCCAGACAGTTCAGCGTGTTCCCCGGGGCTCACAGAGATCCTTGGATGTCCCATGCCCATTGACTTCTTCCTCCCCTCCATCTTCTTGTTCCCTGTCCCTGAATGAATAAAACAGGTGTGTGGTGTTTGGCTAACACACCTACATGATACTCTGTGTGTGCCTTTTCTTAGGATTGTTAACACTTGGTGTGAAAGAATCAGCCATGGTCAACAAAATCTTCACCTGTATCAATGTTCTGGTGTTATGCTTCATCATGGTGTCGGGATTCGTGAAAGGGTCCATTAAAAACTGGCAGCTCAAGGAAGAAGACTTCTTGAATAGATCAAGCCCTCTCTGTGGGAACAAGTGAGTTTATTTTGTGTGCCCCATTGGCATGTGACAGTTCTCTGTTTTTGGTATTTCAGATCCTATACAGGTATTGGGCAATGCATTTCATAAGGTAGCACATACCTTTAAATATGACATGATTTTAACTTACTTTGTAAAAGGGCTTTGTTTTTTTTCCAGTGAAGTAGTTAAGAAGTTTTATTTTAAAAATTAATTGATTAATGTATTTATTAACTGGGTAGATCTGTCTGGCCTCCAACTCATAGAAATCCACCTGCTTTTCCTACCAAGTGCTGGGACTAAAGGTATAAGCCACCACACTTCTATGCTGTCTTCAACAAACTCTAATTATTTAGGAAACAAGCCAAATCATTAGGCCACTTTAATCTTCTTAGTCAAATTTTCAGGTGATTCTTGGTGTCTTAGGATACATAACAGAAGTTGTATGTGATTCTATTTTCATTAAGGCTAATGCTCAAATTGCTATGATGAAGGGACCTTTGTGAGACACCGTGACTTTTTATGGTAGTGGCTACCCATCTGGGAACCTCAGATGTCTTCATTTGTTCTGTCCTGCTTGATGACAGCTTTTGTTGGCCTCTTATCTGGACTGGGTGTGTGAGCATACCTCAGATTTTCCAGAAGGGGAAATAGAATAAGATACAAACAGGGTATGCCCAAGGTATCTGAAGATTGGCCTGGAACACCTCTTCTACATCCCCACCCCAGCCCATCCCTCTACTCCCATCTTCATTCCCTCTACCAGAATCCAGGGAATAGCCACGTGTACCTACAGGGGAGGCTGAGAAATGCTGGCCTATGCTAAGAATCTGAGCAGTCACATACCACACTGGTCACTGGCTACAGCCCAGGTGTCTAGCCTGTGTTACTACTACAAGGGAAACAGGAAAATGTTGAATCAGATACACAAAACTCCTTGGTACTACCATCCTATAATTGTCGATTCAAATACAAGTATCTTTTCCCATCCTAAATTCTACTATGGAGCAATGAGGACTTTTACTCCCTCATTGCCAAACATTCTGGAGTTAGTTATATTTACTCCAAATTTATTGGTCCGCATGAATTTAAGGTGGAGAGAAGCCAACTCAAAATACACTTTGAAGTTCCACAGTAGACTTTGGAACTTTTCATTGGCTGCTATTTACAGGCAGGTGTGAAACACAGAGGGCTTTCCTTGTTTCCTGGTGGCCAGCTGAGGTTTAAGGTTGTTTTTGCAGATTGCATGGCCTATCAACAGTCATGGCACTTCCCAGTCACTCTTGCATTGGCCACCTTAGGGATGGTTTATACAGCAGCACTGACCTCCCAGACAAGGTAGCATTTGTTGTCTGGGTGGGGCTTTAAGTCCATTTGAAGACCAGAGGGACTGCCAGGCCACAGGGAACCCGCCACTTTAGGAGCAGAGGTCTACAGGCCTGGAGCCTAGCTGGCTCTTCCATTTTATTGAAGTCTCCAAATGGCCTTGTTTAATGTGCTTATTCATTTTCCTTTTGCCAGCTATAGGTTTACATTTCTCACATTAGCCTTGTGTAGTCATGTGTGAATTTGCTTGTCCCTTGGTGACAGCCCTACATCCCCCTCCCTACCCCATCACCACACAGAGGCCCTCCAGCAGAGGATTTGTTTGGTTTACACTTCCAGGTCACAGTTCATCCATGAGGGAAGTCAGAACAGGAGCCTGGAGGCCTGACTTCTGTGTTGGGTGGGGTCTAAGGAAAAGTGTGGCACAGACTCTGTGGAGTGGTTTATCCTCACCCATGGTTTTGCGCTCACTCCATCAGTTGGGGAAGGCTGTGAGCCCTTGTTACACGTCAGGACGGCCTGTCAAGTGCTTCCCTTTGTCTCCTCTTCAGCAAGCCCTTTCCTCTGTTTTTGGTTATTTATCTGCTCGGTCCACATGAGTACCCCTTTGCTCTTCTCTGGGGTCCAGTCTTCTCCCCTCTCATTTAATAGTTGGATGTGGCACTTCTTCTTATGTACAGGCTCTCCCCAGGGGCTCCTGCCTGATTCTTTTTCAAAGCAAGCCTTTAGTGGCGACACCCACTCTTTACCTGCAGCCACCACCCCCCCCCCACACACACACACATGAGTGCTTCAGGAATGCTTCGGTTGAATGAAAATCAGTTTGCTTGTGTAAAACTTTTACTCCTTTAGAAATATCTGTTTTAAGAGGGGAGGGGCTTGGTCCTGCCTCAACTTGGTATGCCAGACTTTGTTGACTCCCTAAGGAAGACCTCACCCCCTCTGAGGAGTGGATGTGGGGGGGATGGGAGAAGGAGAGGTAGGGGGAACTGGGCTTGGTATGTAAAATGAAAAATCATTGTTTTTTAATAATTAATTAAAAGAAATACCCGGTTTTAGACTTAAGCTCCTGGTGCATACAGGGCCTGGGTCACAGATGGTGTCCCCAGCTGACAGCTTTCTGGGGAAGAGAATGGGAAGGCAGCAGACACAGTGTTAAAGCGTGTCTGTGTCCCATCAGACTCCTGCCTCTCCCTGTCAAAGTCTAGACATAGAAAATGCTTCTGGAAGGGTTAATAGTGTGTGCCCTTGGGGCTCCCAGCCTGACGGGGGCGGGGGGGGGGGGAGGGGAGGGGGAGAAGAGGCCTGCTACCCACTGAGTGCTCTCACTGGAGGCCTGGGGCCTGGGACCCAGAGAGAGACTTTACCGCTGTGTGTTTTCTTGGGAGCAGCGCTGTCCCCAAACTGAAACTGTGCAGCAGGTGTTTTAATCTTTGCGTTTTCTTTTCTGTAGTGACACAAATGTGAAGCATGGCGAGGGAGGGTTCATGCCCTTTGGATTCTCTGGCGTCCTGTCAGGGGCAGCGACCTGCTTTTATGCCTTTGTGGGCTTTGACTGCATTGCCACCACAGGTATGAGGGCTTTCCTCCGGGGGGGGGGGGCTGCCCCTTTGCAGACACTACCAGTGATTCCTTCCCTATTGGCACGTTCCACTTGCTGTGCTGGTCCCACGGGAGTAACTGTAGATTTGTTGTTTCCTGCTGATCTCACTCTCTCTGTCGCCTTCCTTTATCCCCTAGGAGCATGCCCTGACAGGAAATTACATCATTAGCATAAGCAGGGCTCTGTCATTAGAGTGGGACAATGACAGTGTGGCTGCAGCCTGATTTCATATCTGTACATCCAGGACATTGTAATGACAACATCCTGGCAGATTGTGTTCCCTTGAGCCTCGCAGCTTCTCAGCCAAAGGAAACAAGCCTCTCCCTTACTTAGCTGACCGGTGATAGAAATGTCAGGAACACCCGCCCAGGCTGCGGTTGTGTGGTGGGTCATGGGAAGGTCAGAAGACCCCGGTTCCTGCAGGCTGAGCCCTGTGGGGCATGAGCTTCACTGCGGTTATGTTGAGGATGTGATGCCTCTTGCTCTTTCCCTCACTGACTGACACCTGTTGCTTCCAGGTGAAGAAGTCAAGAACCCCCAGAAGGCCATTCCCGTGGGCATCGTGGCGTCCCTCCTCATTTGCTTCGTAGCTTACTTCGGTGTGTCCGCAGCCCTCACGCTCATGATGCCTTACTCCTGCCTGGACACCGATAGCCCACTGCCTGGTGCCTTCAAGTACAGTGGCTGGGAAGGAGCTAAGTATGCAGTGGCTGTCGGCTCCCTCTGCGCACTCTCTGCTAGGTGAGAACAGCTTCCTGGTCCTTCCAACCGCAGCACTCCAACACCGATGGTGTGGCTTGTACATTTTGTTGCTATCAGTTATTTGTGCTATTAATACGGGTGTTCCCCTTTATCCATGGGGTACTACATTCTGGGACCTACATTGGATTCCTGAAACAATAGATCGTTCCAAACCCTATATAAATTTCTCACAGTAAGCTTGACACCAGTAGGTAAGGGTTTAATGGATACATTATGTACTGATATTTTAAAAAGATAAAACTATCAATCGCATATTTCTGGAACTTTCCATTAGTATTTTCATACTGTAGTTGACACAGGTAAACAATTTACAGAAAGCGAAACTAGGTACTTTTGAAAAGAAACAGGACCTAATTTTGTAGGTGATATTTGGCAAGGAACTAGCTTCTTGCTCCTGACTCTGCCTCTCAACCACGTCCCCTTTTTGATGGCTGTGGCGTTGGCCTTGGATTTGGCTGTAATGCAGAAGCTCCTTTGAGTAAAGGAGTGGGTGCCTTTTTAATGAGACCCCAACACACACGCACACACATGCATGCATACAAATATGTGCACATAGGCATACCCTCGAGCATATGCACACATGTGCATATGCACATACAGGCACTTGTGCATGCACATACACACAAGCACACACATATGTGTGCATACACACACACACACACACACACACACACACACACACACACTGCTTCCCCACTAGCCTGTATAAACAGGAAGTGTTTGCTAATGCTTGGCTTTAGCCAGAAATGACTGAAGACATAAATGTAAGAGCTCCCGCATGGATGTTGCCCTAGGATTGCACGATCCTTTCTGTTAGGTGCCCCTCGTCTGTCCATTGGTCTCACACCGACACTGTGAGCTTTGTGAGGCACTGAGTCATAGAGCCCTGGGTGCCACTGGATGCCAAGCATTGTGGCGGGAGGAGATTTTGCTGAGGGCACTCACATCTCCTTGGTCATGCCTGGGTCTTCTGAGGCCTTGCTTGCCAGTGACATGTTTCTACTCATATGTTTTGCCCTTTTCTTACCCAGTCTTCTAGGCTCCATGTTTCCCATGCCCCGAGTTATCTACGCCATGGCCGAAGACGGACTACTGTTTAAATATTTGGCCAGAGTCAATGAGAGGACTAAAACACCAGTAATTGCTACACTGACCTCAGGCGCCATTGCTGGTAAAGATTGGAATTTACTTCTGGTGTTGCTGTTTGAACAACTAAGTCAGCATTCCTAGGGAGGCGTCTTGAAGTTTACCTGTCTGTGTAAATTGTGAAAAGCCACAACTCATCCATTAGAGCTTTTGAAACTGTAGCTTTTTACACTCAGAACTGGGTTCATTGAAAGATAACTGCATTTTTAAAAATTCTTTTTAAATTTAATGTACACGTATGGGTGTCTTGCTTGTATATATGTGCACCCAGTGTGTGACTGGTGCCCGTGGAAGCCAGAAGAGGGCATCAGATCCCCCAGAACTGGAGCTACAGATGATTGTGAGCCAACATGTGGGTACTGGGATCTGAACTTGTGTCCTCTAAAATAGCAACCAATTCTCTTAACTGCTGAGCTGTCTCTCCAGTCCTAGATAGCTGTACATTTGATGAAAGACAAAGAAGGCAGGTTTATAGAGGATGGGGTGGAATTATTCTTAAGAGTTTAACTCTTACTGTGGTCGAGCTCACACACACACACAATCATTCCTTCAAACCCACCCATGGTCCCTGGCTAGTGTTTCCTTATGTAGAATTTGGGAGGCTGGCCTCTTGCATAATCCAAGCCAAAAGCACTTTTGGGTAAACATCAGCAAGTCTTGTGTCCATGCATCTTAGCTTATTGATTCCCTGGAGCATGAATGTCCCTCACAGTCGTTTTGTCAACCTTCACCTTCTCTTTCCCAGGGGGCACATGTAGAGGTTTGCTCTTTGCCCTCAAATAGTGGTAGACCCAGGAAGTTTTCTTCTGCCATCATGTTCATCCTCGAGAGTGCAGCTGTGATAGATGAACTAGGTAAACTAAAGGACCTTTGAGCCATATGATTGTGTGGGGGACCTGGAGGAAGACCACGTGAATGCTGCCATGTGTCCTGCAGTCTGTTATTCCTTTCATGACTGAAGTTAGAGTCTATTGTCCAGCTAGAGAAGTGGTGGCCTGGAGAGGCCCAGGGTCCTACCCGGGAGGGCAGAGCTGCTCTTGATTTCTGTTTGTGTTCATGCTAGCAGCAGTTCCTTGCAGGATCCGACTAGCACTGGGTCTGTTTTTGATCCAGAAGGACCCAGGATACCATACAATTGGTATCTCAGTGTCTTGTCAAATGACTACAAGTAAGACAATCAACCATATCTATCTGTCTGTCTGTCTATCTATCCATCTATCTATCTAGTTATCTATCTGTCTGCCTTTTTTTTTTTGTTGCTGTTGTTGTTTTTATTTTGTTTTGTTTTTTGTTTTGAGACAAGGTTTCTCTGTGTAGCCTTGACTCACTGGAACTCACTATGTAGACCAGGCTGCCCTCCAACTCACAGAGATCTGCCTGTTTCTGCCCCACCCCCACCCCCTAGTGCTGAGATTAAAGGCACCATCACCCGGCTGACAACTGGCCATCTTAAATGAACTAGTGTTACTAGTTTTATTAGTATTTATACCTTAAGTAAAGTGTTTTAGTTTTGTGACTATTATTGTATTAAAAAAAAAGAAAACAAATTTAAAATTGTTTACCAATAGTTCTGTGTGTAATCACAATAGTAGTGTAATCACCAGGTCACAATGTGACCCATAGACCCCAGTGACTGACCCCAGGACTTTGTTCAATTCCCACATAATTTGATGTAGTTTCCTTGCTGTACTCACAAATGGAGGTCAAACTATGATCTTTCAGGTGGCTGTAAAGGACACACCACTTGCCAAACCAAGGGTTTGTCATTTCCCCCCTTTGGTGGGATTAACATTTGGTATTCTAGAATCACCTGGCATAATAGCAGTTTGGGTTTTCCTGTGCGCAAGAATGGAGACGAGGGTGGCATGTGCTGTTGGAAGGTATTCCAATTATATGGAAGGCCTCCACCGCTTCTCTAATCTAATCATTTATCATCAATTTAAATTTGCTTGGCTTGCATTGATCTGGTGGGGCTTCAAAAGATGTGTGTGGGAAATGGATAGTTTCATAGTCCTGCTTTAATTTGTATTGATTTGCATGTGATTTGAAAAATATCCCAAAGTAGAGCTTGCCACATTATTTTTTAAATGGGAAAATTGACATTATCCACTGACATAAATAGACACAGGGGATTTTTAAATAAACACATGTTTATCATACCACCAGATCTTGTATATACTAGACCAGTGCTCTACCACAGGCCCAGACCTCAAGAATGTATGTTCCATTCTTCTAAAGGCTGAAGTTGGGTAGCAGGGTGGCAAGGTTTGTTTGGTGACAGGGATAGTACCATTTAGGGATAACTTTGAACTTCTAACTGTTTTCTCTACTTACCTGTCTAGAGTAGGATCTCCTGTGAGTCTTCCTAGAGCAGGCCTCCCATCACCATCATCTCCTGAGACATGTATCTTTAGATGATACTTTAGGAGGGCAGACACTGTGGTCTGTCCTCTTCAAGGCTGGGTACCTAGAACTTTAGTGATTGGCACATCAGTGCTAGATGGCTGGATGGAGGATGGAGGAGGATGAATGGCTGGATGAATGGTGGATGGGGGAGGAAGGATGGATGGCTGCCTGGATGGATAACTAGAGTGTGTGTGGAACAAGGATGGATAGACACATGTGTGAATGGACAAGACCAGGCACGTTCGGGGTGGTATGGCCATACACGCATGTGTGAATAGAGTACAGATAGGTGGAAGAAGGAAGGATGAGTGGGTGGAGAAAAAAATGGTGGGTGGAAGAATGGATGGTGCAAGCTGCAGAGATGGAAGAAAGACATGAGCAGATGGAAGATGGATAGATGGATGGAGGAAGGCTGGGTGGATGGGTGGGTGGGTGGATGGCTATAGATGTAGGAAGATGAATGGGTGGAAGATAGATGTACAGATGGACATGTGGATGTGGCTGTCTATGAGTCACCAACATGTGGAAGAAGTCACAGTGGGGTCAGAGTTGTAAGAATGCAGATCCTGGTTCTTCCATCCCCTAGCTATATAACCTTAGCTGAACTTGCTACTTACAGTATTCATCTGTAGTGCTGGGTTGGCTTGAAAGATTATCTTTAAAAAAAGTATTCTTTTTAAATATTTTAAATATTTATTTGTTATGTATACAGTGTTCTGTTTGCATGTATCTCTGCAGGCCAGAAGAAGGCACCAGATCTCATTACAGATGGTTGTGAGCCACCATGTGGTTGCTGGGAATTGAATTCAGGACCTCTGGCAGGCCAGTTAGTGTTCTTAACCACTGAGCCATCTCTCCAGTGCCCTTTATGCAAATTTCAGTGTTAACTATCTCTATTATTTCTTGAGAATGCTTTCAACCTTGAGCCTGTCTTCAACTGAGCAATGTCTTTCTCCTGGACAGGTTGTGTGGGGGTGGGGCTGGGAGTATCCCAAATTACAGATGTGTGGTGGTTTTAACTATAGGAGTGGGCAGAGGACCACTTATAACCCTAATGTCTGTCTTTTTCCCAGCTGTGATGGCCTTCCTCTTTGAACTGAAGGACCTGGTAGACCTCATGTCTATTGGCACTCTCCTGGCTTACTCTTTGGTGGCTGCCTGTGTGTTGGTCTTAAGGTATGTATGGCTTTCCTGGGTTTCACGACAAATGTTAAATATTAAACAGTCCTATTATGGCTGTTTTTTTAACAGTTCTGACAAATGGTTGATAAGTTTATAAGGTATAATTTTCAGGTCGTATTAGCTCAGTTGGAAGGCTGCTGAGTAGAAGGTGGGATGTGGTCAATGGTACAACCCTCCTCCCCTGTTTTGTCATCTTGTCTCATCCATGTGCCAGGCCCCCTCCTGGCTCATGAGCTACTTCCTCCTATCATGTCCTCTGTTTCTCTGGCTAAATATCAGAAGGTCAAAGACAAGTTCGCAACAGCAATCTGAGTCTGGGATCTGAAATTTAGAAGGCTTAGGGCAATGACTTCAGATGACCCAGTTGTTGATCCTGGGGGCTATCCCTAGATTACATCAGAAGAATCTCAGGCCTATGAAACCAGGTCTGTATGGTGCTTCTGTAGCCTGCTTGTACTGTCGCTTGGGAGTGAACCTCATGACATGGTGTGGTGTAGTTTTCAGGAACACTGGGTTCTAATTATGTATCTTTTGAAGGCTTTAGAGTTACAGGAGCTTGGCCCTGTGGTGTCTCACCCACCCAGAGCTCCCAGAGCACATGCCTGGGCTTCATTTTTCCTTGGATGTGGAGGAACAGGGAGGTCTAAGGATGAGGTGGCCTTTGTCATGAGAACATGTGTTCACAATGACTGTTGTTTGTCCACCAATCAGGTGTTTCAGACAGGCAAAGTAAAGCTCACAGAGTCAAACAAATGCAACATAAAGGAATGCAACACATCTTTGCATCACTAAACAATTGTTCCACAGCATAAAGACAAATGTAACATGTCCCAAAATAATATTCTACAACAGTCACCCAGCCAGAGTGTCCTTCTTTTCAGGTATTTCTCCTTACAAGGCAAATAGCTTCATTTTCCCAGCACCCAGTTTCCATAAAACTTGGACTGGTTCCTATTAGTGACTTTTCAGGCTCAGTTCAAGCAAGTTCATGGACCCCTATTCAATTCTAGGGGCTCAACATCAACATGTTCTTTGAGCTCCACCTACTTTCTTAATTGGTCAAATCACCATGTATTTGTGGGCATATGGGAAGAACAGGTAGCTATCTCATTGCACACTCTGCTTGTGCTTGGAACTGATCATCTGCAAAACAATTTAAAAGATATTCTGCTTTTAAAAAGCTAGTGAGAACCAGTAAGGTTGGTTGGGAAGGCAAAAAAACCACGTCATGTGAATGCGTGCTTCATCTGTGGGTAGCTTGTGTCTTGGAAGTCATGCCACAGGTATGACTGGCTCTGTAGTTACTCTAAGGCACTTAAGAGTTTTAGAATAACTTCATCCAGTTTGGTCATGCAGACAGAGCCCACCCATCCATCAGCCTGTAGTCCATGACTCTCCAGCTTCCTACAGCAAGTGGGATGCCAGTGTTACTGCTTCTTGTCTTTGTCTTCACTTTGAACTATGGGCAACAATTATTTGGTGAGAAGTGCCCTAACATTGGCACATTCAAGGGCCACTGCTACTTCCTTGATCAAGAGAAGCTCTCTGGAACATTTCATTGGACCACTTTCCAATGGTTTCCCTATTATTGTTCTACCCGAAGTGAAGGCACCAAGGTTGAATATTGGCCCTGAGAAGGAAGAACTTGATCTGTCCTTTGTTCTTGTATTGGTAGATACTGCACTATTCTACTCATTTATGTCCCATGTCCCCTCAATGAAGGCTCATTGAGAACTTAAACTGATTTTTCTTTTTGGGGTGGGGCATGGGCAGTGTTAATCTGTGTAACAGCCTTGGCTGTCTGAAACTCACTTGTAGACCAGGCTGGCCTCAAATTCATAAGAGATCTGCCTGCCTCTTCCTCCTAAGTGCTAGGATTAAAGGTGTGTGTGTATGTCTTTTTTTTATCTTTTTTCTTGGGTTTTTGAGGCAGGGTTTCTCTGTATAATCCTGGCTGTCCTAGAACTAGCTCTGTAGAGCATGCTGGCCTTGAACTCATTGATACCCACCTGCAATTTTATTTAGATTTGCTTTTATTATTTCATTTTATTGTTTATTATTATATTTTATGTGCATGAGTATTTTGCCTGCATATATGTCTATTCACTGTGTGTACTGGTGCTTGAGAAGGTGGCAAACCTTCATGTGGGGATGGGAATGGAAACAGGAGCAGATAACAGCACTCATGCTGTGGGCATGTCTTTACAGGTACCAGCCAGAACAACCTAATCTGGTATACCAGATGGCCAGAACCACCGATGAGTTAGATCAAGTAGACCAGAATGAGCTGGTCAGTGCCAGTGACTCCCAGACAGGCTTTTTGCCAGTTGCTGAGAAGTTTTCTCTGAAAACCATTCTCTTACCCAAGAATATGGAGCCATCCAAATTCTCAGGGCTAATTGTGAATGTTTCAGCGAGCCTTCTAGGTAAGACGTCCCTTTTTCCTTGGAGTCTGGCTTCTTGATGTTGTGTGGTTTCTGGTCCATAGGGATGAGAGCAGGGTTGGGGTGGGGGAGTAGATGAGTGACACCAGCTTTTCATTGTCATTTAATTTATGACTCAGGCACAGGGGATTTGGGGAGATATGTGATATATATGGGGATTCTACCCCACTCTTGTTTTTCTCTCTTTTAGCTGTTCTTATCATCATCGTGTGCATTTTGGCTGTGCTCGCAAGAGAGGCTCTGGCTGAAGGGACACTGTGGGCAGTCTTTGTGATGACAGGGTCAGTCCTCCTTTGCATGCTGGTGACAGGCATCATCTGGAGGCAGCCTGAGAGCAAGACCAAGCTCTCATTTAAGGTGAGCAGCTTGGCAGACCTGTAGAGAATATACTGATGGGTCACAGGCATTGCTTTTCTGCTGGGAAGCTGAGTCTTTTTTTTTTTGCTGGGCCAGACCTGGGAATGACAGGGGTTGGAGGTAGCTCTTGCCAGCTAAGCTCAGGGACCCTTGGAGCACAGAATGTCTTGCTAAGTCAGGGCTTGTCTCTAGAAACAGGAGCCTCTCTGTGTCCCTGGTCCTCAGTTAGTGTGTCTCCAAGGGCCTCTTATTAAATGTCCTGATGTCATGGTACTGCTTAGTGTTGAAGGTGACCAAGGCATTTGCAGTTGTCAAATAATAGTAACACAGTTTAACCTTGGGAATAAAATGGATATTTGTCTTCTAGGACAAATATCCTAGGATGTGTGGGCAATTCTGTTTGGAGAAGACTGTTGAGTTTGCCACCCTCATTAGATCTGAAACTGCCTTGTGTCTCTGCAGGTACCCTTTGTCCCCGTACTGCCTATCTTGAGCATCTTCGTGAACGTCTATCTCATGATGCAGCTGGATCAGGGCACATGGGTCCGGTTTGCAGTGTGGATGCTGATAGGTATGTGAGGCATGGGTCTCGCTGAATGGCACACGCTCAGGATCTGCTCTTGGAATCTCTTATGTAGGGTCACTAATTCTCCCTCCTGCTTCTTAGCTGGATAGTTAATGGTGCAGAACCTGCCTCCTTCACCTATGCTAACATAAAGAAACACAAGTAGTCAGTGGCTTGTTCTAAAACAGCACTGAACTCTTGGTATGTTGTAAGACCGCCTTCCTCTTTAGAAACTTTCAATGGGCTCTTGCCCAAGACAGTATCTCACCAGGTTTGATCTTGACGTTTAGAAAGTGTGAGGTATGAAGGCTAGTTATTCATAAAGCACCAGTTACCTAGACAGAAAGTCTAGGCTATATCTGCTTGGCCAGCACCTGGTCTTTGTGGGCTCTGGGCTCTTCAGAGTACTTCTACTAGCAGGGCATCATGTGATGGGAGGCTTTTGATGGGCTGACAGAATGCTTGTTCCTGACAGAAAATGAGTGCTTGACACTACTTGGGGGTCTAGGTACATTTTAGTCTGGGGTTGCCTACTTGGGTGCTGGCCAGCCTTTACTAGGGCTGATGATGTGAGCCTCACCCCATCCCCCCACTCCAGGCATCTAACCTTGGGGCTGTAGGAGCTGGTTTTAGTCCTTTGCATTCATTTCCTGGGTTGTGATGCTGACAGCCTGGGGGACTAGCCTTGATGTGTATTGGTGCCATGCCCTTGACAAGCATTTCAACCCTAGGACACTGGGACCTCTGAGTAGCACCTTCTGCCTTTTCTTTGTCATTCTAGGAAAAGTTCCTCATTTGCTTTAAAATCTAAGAGCTGCCCACAGCCCACTAGGGTCCATTGCTTGGTGTGTGGATGCGTATTCCCGACATCCCTACAGAGATGCCTGTGTGGTAGAGTGTGAAGTCATTTCCTGGACTCCAGGCAGTGGAGTCCTTCGGGACTGCATTCCTGTGTAGGTTGCTCAGGTGGCCCTGAGACTTGTGGGCGGCTCCAAACAAATACCACTGCAGATGTGGGAGCCCTGGATGCCAGCTCAGTCCTCTGCAGCCTATGCTCACTACATTTCCTGGTGTTGACTGTCTTCAGTCTAAAGGTTTCTTATGTCTAAAAGAAAAAAACAAAACAAAACAAAACTAAACTAAAACAAAACAAAACAAACTCCCCCCAAACCAGTAGGCCAATGTAGGCAGAGTACCTACCTGCCCTCTGGGAAGGAAGCGTCTCTGGTACTCTGAGGCCACCTAGTGGCAGACAACAGCCTGGCATCCTGCTGCTCAGGGAGGACAGCATGTGGCCACTCCACATAGCTTTGACACAGTGGAAGCAGGACAATGACTTTGGCTACTTCATATCTGGAGCCCTGTGTTGCGTTTCAGGGTGTTGGAGTCTGCCTGGGCAGCCCCTTGTGGCTCCTAAGCCAGTCTGGGTCTGGCAGTCCTGCCTACTTTCTTTAACCTCTGATCTCCTCTACCCACAGGCTTCACCATCTACTTCGGTTACGGGCTGTGGCACAGTGAGGAGGCTGCTGGCCAGGCAAGGACTCCTGACAGCAACTTGGACCAGTGCAAATGATGTGAAGTCCCACCCACCAAGGTGGCAGCCGTTGCGGGGTGCCCATAGAGGCCTGGGACCCTCACACTCTCTCCACCCATACCGCAGGATCCGCTCACATCCCCAACATCACCAAAGGTGCTGTGAGCTGGACTGTAGCCTCTGCCGTAACTGACATAGCCTGGCCAGACAACCCTGCAGCCAGCTCATGAGGTCCTGGTCACTTCTGGACAGCTCCTTGGTCTTATTTCCCTCTGAACCAAGAAAGCAGCCCTTCTCCTTGCCAGCTGGGCGCTTTGCTGCAGCAACCCCAGCAAAAGGAAGGCCCCCTTCTCCTCTTCCTTGGGAAGCAGGCCTCCTTCCCTGGGACCACCCTGGTATTGCTCATGTGCCCACTCCAGACCCTTAGTGGGCATCTCTCTGTCAGCCCAGTCAGGACAGACTCCCAGCCACAAGATGCAAGACTAGTCCTATGAGATGGCATGTCCCCAGCAGTGCTGTCCAGCTGCCAATCAACTGTAGAGGACCTAAAGAGGAGGAACTGACTCCCATCTTACTGCTTCTGGGCTGGGGTGGTAGGTCGGGGCCTTGGTCCACATATCCTTTCCCAGCCTCGGTGACACTATGACAGACCCCAGCGTGGTGTGAGCCATTCATCATGGGCACAGAGGGTGGGAGGTCCCTTGAGGGATCAGTGGTGTCAAGGTGGGAAGGCTACCTCTGCTCACATGGACTGGGGGACATTCTCTAGTCCTATTCCTGGCAGGGCCTGGATCGGCTCCTGCTGCTCTTGGCATCTGTTCTCACTGTCCTGAGTCACTGGAACATGAGGTCGTAATAGCAGGATTAAGTCAGGCTCTTTGGGTCTTCTAAGGTTCTTCAGACAGGTGGTAGCTTAATGTGGGGTTGTGATGCTTTTGTGGCCACTGACACGATCCATGTGGCCTCTTACATCTAAGGAGTGCTATGAAGCCCTCCCATTGCTTGCCATGAATCACTCCACCAGATTAAGTTGGGGCTTCATGTTACCTTGGACAATGGCCAAATAATTGCCGAATGCCGTCAGCTTGTGGCTCAAGGTGTACAGTCTGCACATGACATGGCTTGGGGTCCTATTGCTATTCCTCCTGTGTTCTCTGTCTTTCAAGTGCTGTGGCGGCTTTGCCTGCTGCGGGTGAAATTCCCACCCTGGCCTGGACCATATGATCCCTGTGTATGCCTGCATTTCCCCTCCCCCACACCCCTCAACTCTCCGGGTGGGGCATTGGGGCCTGCACTGTTTCACTTACTCTGTGTAGACAAAGCAAGGGTGATGAGCATGCTAGTGGAGTGTCATTTTAGAGCCATTCAGAGCCAGCCTCCAGTCCCCATACTGGGGTGAGGGAGGCCCGTGTCTTAGACTAATGTAAATGATGTTAAGGCCTAGCTTTTTTTTTCTGTCTGGCCTTTGACACAAGTCTAATGGAAATAGGCGGGATAACCTGATTGTACTGTCTTCCTCTCTGCTCTAGAAGGTTCTTGGAAATACAAGCTAGTGTGTAGCCTACTTACTACATGCTGTAGGCATGGCACTTGCCTAGCATATGCAAGGGCCTCAGGTTCCAGCTGCAGACTACAGAAAATTAGGGAATTGGTGAAACAGCCTGGAGGCTGGATCAGCTAGTGGAGGGCAGCTGGGCGCGGCCAATCCAGACCTTTGTGCTGGGACCCTGACCACCTTCCTGGTGCTTTGCCTCACAGGCTGAGAATATTTCAATGGAAGTATTGTAAGGCCCTAAAGGTTGAGTTTCCAAAGAAAGGTATTTAAATTTATGTAGATTGGTGCTGTAAAATATTTTGATAAATATTAACTTATTTTGTTCAGGTCTTGACTATCTGTTGTCTTCTTAGGGCCTGTTAAATAGTAGTCTATTTTTTTTCCTTGTAATTTTTCTAAGTAGACAGAGAGGAAGAGGGGGTGCCCAGTGAGGTATTGGGAGCTCTCTCTCTCTCTCTTTTTTTAAACTTTAGTTTTTTTTTTTTTTCCTTTGGTTTCTTTCATGAGATAAGATTTCACTCTGTAGCTGGTCTGGACTTGGGTTATTGTAGCCCAGGCTAGCCTCTTGATTATAGCCTCAGCCTCCTGAGTGCTAAGATTATAGGTATGAGCCAGCACTCCTGCTTAACTCATTGCTTTCTGGATGAGACCTTCTGTCTAAGGCAGTCTAACAGTGTGTTTACAGTTGCCATTTCAGCTAACAGCCTATAACCCACCAAGCACCCACTTCCTAGTCAGGAAAAGATGCTCAAGGGTGACTTGCATAGTAAGGTGATTGGCCATCATGCTTTTGCTAAAGTGGACAGTTGCCAGGAGAGGTTTTTTGGGAGGGAGGCACAAGAACAGGGAGGGAGGACACACGGAGTCCTTCCTGGAGTGAACCTCTAATAGCTTTTTCTCACACTGGCAGTTCCTTCTCCTGAAAGGAAAATACACGAGCCAAAACCCAAGACACTAACAAAAATCTCTCAGAACCTAGTAGGCAGTGTCCCATCTCTTAGCCTCCTACCCAGAGAAGGGTCTTATTCTATTGCCCAGCTTGGCTAGTAGTATCTCCTACCTAGTTGGGACACAGGTGTTCTAAAGACACATTCCCATGCCTTGTTTATCTCCCGCTAGAGTATTCACATTGAGTGTGTGCCCTTCCTGTCTCTGGGTCTAAGCCCACGAAGAAGCCAATACCCAGGGAACTCTGCTTAGGAGTGGGGTACAAGATGTTTCCACCTTCCAGAAGGTTGCCTAGTGGGGAGGGGGTGCTGTTTATAGAGACACTGCCTCACCCACCGTGTAATGCATGGAAGCATGCGTACACTCCCACGCCCATACCCCATCTCTGCCCACATTGTGGGTCTACTTTGCAAACAAAGAAAAAGTAGAGTCATGTCCCAGACAGTTCTCTGGGAAATTACTGGGTTTATACTGTTCTTCATTGCTCACAGTTTGGTTTTTACAGTGGCAAACGCCCCATCATCTCATACCTTCATCTGATAGCCATCCAGTCCCCTGTGCTGACGAGGTGGTTTGGACACATGGAGCCATCCATGTGACTCAGGCTTGGTGGCCAGAAGTGACTGCAGGACTGTGGGAGACATTAGGCTTCTCCGCCTGCCCTTAGTGGTGGCCAAGTGTTGGATACACTTCCTCCTGCACATATGGCTCAGCCAGTTTGTGCGCACCAAGAGAACATGTAGCCCACCCCACCCTGTCTACCACCTGCTACTTTCCATGCATAGGGCTAAGAAAACTAGTGGGCATGCTTGTTCCTTGCCCCCTGACAGACATTCTGAATTGGTCAGTGTTTACAGTCCCCTCTATAGATGAAGTTTGGAAACAACAGTGTGAGAAACTGGTTCCTGGGATACGAGGACATGTCCCACAGGCCCACCCATACCTGTAGGCAAAGTTGCAGGCACTGCTGGCCTGTGTACCTACCTACACTGAAAACATGCCTGGCTCTCACCGGGGCCCATCCTCTGACTTGAATGCCCCATGTCCCCACAGACACATCTTTCTAATAAGAGCTAACTGTTCTGTTGGCACCTGAGCACTAAGAGATCTTAGTGGGGATCTAAGTGCCAGGGTGCCCATCCCTTGGGGTGTTGGGGGGGGGTGTGGGCAAAGGAAGTTTGAGTCCATGTCTGGCTGAGCTCCTAAGCAAAGGGAGTCATGGGACAGAATAATACACAACACATGGAACTGTTACAGAATTCAAATTCAGAGCTGAATGTATGTTATGTACAGTTATTTTATGTAATTCAAACGTTATGTTTGCTATCGTAATGAGAAGATTGTATGCGAGGCTCCTTGTGGAGAGCAAGCTGTGCATTTTGTTAGGCTTGTTTTTGGGTCACGGTGACACAGTGGTTCAGGTACAAATTGCTACACTCCTTAGGCCAATTTGGTGGTGATGGACTTTTTTTTTTTTTTTTAAGGCAAAACAATTTTTACCAACTGCTCACCTCCCTCATTTTAATCTGGTCTTTCCCCCCACTGATCCATTGAGCTGGGGAATATGGTGTGACCAAGGGTCTTGGGACACAGTGACCAAGGAGCCCTCCTGAACCATTCTGTTACATGTGCTGAATGGCTGGCTAAAAAGCCCAGGGGAGATGAAAGACCACATCCAGACGTATTCTCAGGGCGCTGGCATGTCCAGCAGGGCCAGGAAGCAAGGTTTAGGAAGACATATATGGACTAATTTATTGACAAGGGTTACCTTTGTGTTCCTTGCCAAGCTTTTTGAGTTTGGGACTTATTTTCCCATTTGAGAAGTTATAATATATATGTGTGTATGTATTTAAGAGATTTCCTGCTTCATTTGTGCCTTGCAGCTTCGATGGATTAAGGATCACAAAGGGTCATGATACTGATGAGGGTTGGTTTATTATCAAACCTGAATAGTCGTGGTTTCTCCGGGACAATTTTTTTCCTTCTACTGAACATGGAGCCATTGTTAAAAGAATTATGTGGTTTTTTTCCATTATGTAAATTGTATATATTTTTTTGCTTGTTTGAGGTTCTATTTTTCTAATAGTCTTCTTGCAGTTTCTTATAATGGTGACATTAGATTAAGACTGATGTTAACTGTAAATCAAGGTGGTCTCTACTGGATTCCCGTGGTTTAATTATAGTTTATTTTAAGGCCAAGCACAGGTTCATCCATCACCTTTTTAAAAAATGTGAACCTTATGTTTCCCCTCATTGCTAAATGCATTGTACACTGGCAACCCCCCTCCTATGCGCCTGTGTCGTAAACTCAAAGCTATTTTGTGGTACATTATCTCATGCTTCTGCAGATGCTAATAAATCCTGTCTGGTTTCCACATACACTGTGTGATGTCAGGTGTGCTAGCAGCTCTTGGCTGGTGGCTATATTACTATGACCTCTTTTGTTCTAGAAGCCATTTGGGAAAGGCTTTAGGCCTGTCCTTCTATATCCTTGCTGTCTCCCCACTTCAGACCTCCAAACTCACCTGGGTTCATGGCTGCAGAGTTCACCAGCCAACGATCTTAAACTAGAGAATTTCATCTCGTCAAACCCCTCAAGTCCACAGACGTAAGAGGTTTGCTTGCCCTGCCTGCCACATGCACCAGACTGGAGGAAACAGGTTTTATGCAGAACCCAGGCTGGGGATAGGATTGTAACTCATCTAAGGATGAGTGATATCTCACTCCCTGGCACTCTAGGGAAGGACACATTCATTCATAGCACAGGAGACAAGTTCAGCCAGTTGGGCTTTGAGGCTCTACATGGAGAACAGCAATTCATAGGCTGGAATGGAGCTGGAGGCTAAGCTTTAAGCTTTGTGTTTTCCCAGGTGATAGTGGTGGTGGCAGGCACCCAGGGGTGTAATTTTGGCACCAGGTGCCAGAAATAAGTGTCAGAAATCTCCAAGGGTTCAGGTCACACATCCAGTGTTCCTCCATTGAAAGGAAAAGTATTGGCCTGGGACCCCCAAAATCAAGTTCTCAGTACAGTACAGGTGAGATTTATTTATCCCAGAGGAAGGAAGGATCTGCCTGTGGATACAGGGCAGACAGCTGTGGCCCACAGGCAAATGGCAGTTTATAAAGGTAAAATGGGAAACCCTGTGTCAGGATGAGGTATGTAATTTTAATTGGATGTGTTAATAAGTAGGTGAGACAGAGGGGGCTTTTGATAATGGGTTTCAATACTGGACCTTGGTAGTCAGCCTCAGGAGGGATTGGTTGGCCAAATAAGGGGATGGACCTTGGGGGCTAGCTTTAGGGATGCAATCTAATGGTTTTTAGCAAGCCACAGGGGATTGGGAGAAAGGGCAAGATCTGAGAGAGCCATGCTGCGTCCCTTCATGTATCACCTGGGGGAAGCAGACGCCTGTGCTTGGAGAGTGTGAAAACAATGATGTGCAGTGTTGCGGATACAGGGCCCCTCTACTGTGGTGCAGTTACTGTTGGATACAGCTTATGGCAGGATGCAAGAATCAGTCCAGTCCTATCTCATAGAAGTCACCCAGGGAATACCCCATGTATGCCTTGGTAAGGAAGTTGCTAGCCAAGTGTGGAGATGCACACCTTTAATCCCAGCACTTGGGAGGCAGAGGCAGGTGGATCTTTATGAGTTCAAGGCCAGCCTGGTCTATAAAGAGAATTCCAGGACATCCGGGGCCACACAGAGAATCCCTGTCTCAAAGCCCCCCACCCCTGGAAAAAAGCTAGTTGGGCTAAATGCATATGGACCCTGGGTTCCTGCAGCTCCCCAGTACCATCTAGTGGGTGACATTGGGTGCTACACTCATAGCCTTTAAAACCATGCAAAAGCAATGCTCAGAAAATCCCTTCTATTGTGGGGTCCTGGTGGGACATCTCGTGAAGCAAACTTCCCCTCACCCTGTTTGGTTATGAAGCACTTCCAGTGAGTCCTATCTGTCCCCTTGTGGCTCATTATTCTAGAATTTGAAGAATCTATATAGCCCCATAGCCCAGGGAGCTGCCTTATCTTTCAATTGTGTCTGCCATCTGCCAACTACACAGATCTGGGCAGAATATAAGGCTGCATGTGTGTGTGTGTGTGTGTGTGTGTGTGTGTGTGTGTGTGTGTGTTTGTGTGTAACCTCTCAGCCCCTGATCAAAGGGAGTCCTTTCATGTCCCTGAGTTAAGCTTGTCTAGCAGGCTAGAAATATAGTCTACATGTGCACACATGCACAGTTAATGCAGACCCCAGAGTAGGCAGGCTCTGGACCTAATCACCATGTGTGAGGGCCCAGGGAGTCAGGAAACCAGAGTCATTTATTGGTACCATTCACTAATATAGCACTTGCTTTGAGAACGTCCTAAAAAGCTAACCATTGGAAGGGTGCCATCGGATGCCTGGGTTCCTACTTGACATGATATAGATCTCCCACACAGGTGAGCCAGGACTGACAAGGCTCCTTGGTTCAAAAAGGTGACAAGTAGTTGGATTCCCAGGTTTCCTATGTCTGCAGAGAATCAGGATGGAACACAGTTTCCTACAGCTGGTGTCAATCTTATTTCCTGAACCTGTCATGGGCTGAGTCGCCACTCTTTATAAATGTAGATGCTGGGATTGCCATACAGGTGGGGATGAGGACAATGGATAGTGGCTACTAGGATGTGGGGGACACTCTATGTCCCTGGAGAAACCAAGAGTGTAGAACACAGTGACACGTTGTACATTAATCAGTAGCTTTCTATTGATAGTTTAGGAAGTTTGGCTGACTGCAGGGGATCCTGGGAGCTTCGTTATGAGGCCAGGAAGTGCCATGAACACAGGGGTCACTAGTCAGCTACTGTTGAAAAGAGCAGACTAGTGGTCTCCCCGCCATTCCCATGCACTCCACCAAAATGAATAGAGAGAACTGGGAAATTCAGATCTCCCTTGTGATCCTCAAGCTAGGCCAGGTACCTGTGAGACTCTCTAGGGCCGGGCTAGGTTGAGCAAACTGACCGCAATCCACAAAATGGAAGGCTGGGGGTGGTGGTGGCTGATTTTGGATTGGAATAGGCAAATGTGTGTGTTAGCTACTTGTGGTTTGACTAAGACTAAGCACACATAACCATATACTTGAGTGCTTGGTTCCCAGTTGGTGGACTGTTGGGAAGGCACACAGATGAGTCCGGGAGCAGAGGGGTCTCTAGACTTTTCTTGGGGTATAAAAACACCTTGCTTCCTTGCTGGCATCCGAAGCCTGAATGCGGCATGTCTGTAGCTCCACACATCACATGAGTATCATGGAAAATCTCTCAGGTTTGTTTTAATAAGCTTTAGAGTGCAACACAAATATAAACACAGAAACCGGAGGGGCAGGAAAGAGAATGTTGTGCCCCTTCAACTAATCCCAGAGTACTCCGGACCCCAAGCCCCACCCCCATCCTGACATCACCATGACCTGTCCCCAGCCCGTGGCAAGAGAGTGGGAACAGGCCAACAGAACCTCCTGAGTCCGTAAAGACCCTAGATGTGTTTGACAGGTTCGTCTGTGGCAGGACGGGAGGATGCAGTGTCCCAGCGTAGGGATGAGGACAGACACTGATTCCCACGCTGAGAGGTCCGGATCATAGCAGCATGGAGACAGAAGGATCATGGAAGAGGCACAGCAGCTCTGGCCACCTGGATCTCAGGACTCAGTTCAAGTGGGGCACCATACATGAGAGGTGTCTGTGACAGAGAACAAAGCCAGGGCCATGGGGAAATTTGTTCAAGTGCCCAAGGTCGAGGCTGATTAGGGCAAAGCTCTAGTCCACCTAATGAGGGTACATAGTTCTAACATTGCTACCACTTGGACCACGACAGCCTAACATACTGTACCACATTCTATACTCACATCAAAGTCTGTATTGCTGAGAACCCGCCATCAGCAGGTACAGCTGTGGAGACGGGTCCTAATTCGGAGAGCTAAGCAGCCACCCAATTTATGTCTGCAGGTTTTGCCTGCTAAAATAAAGAACTGTGTACTGAACTGACGGGCATGAGCTACACTTATGGAATGCCCAACTCAGTATCCCAATATCATGCAGAGCCAAAGAAAGAAGACCTATTTCTTTGATGTGTATCTACTGTGTGCATCTCCAGAATGGACAAAAGACCCATGGAGGTTGGCTACAGTCCGATGCACCTAAGACCAGGAAGCCCAACTTGGAGCCACAGGAGGGATGTAGACCACATTTGCCTCAGTGTCCTTGGACACGCTGACACCATCCCCAAGCTGTTTTTTCCTGGTTCAATGGTTCTTCTCATCTAGGGCATGCTCAGACTGGCCCATGCTTAGGAAGTGAAGGGTCTTTGTCACATAAGGAAACAAAGGTATCATTATCACCACTGTATTGACTGATACAACTACTTCTCTTCTGTGGGTCATGCTTCTAATCTCCCATAGCACTACATGAATACCTTTCATGTTCTAATTCTACCGTCTTAGAGACAAAGACCAGTCCAGGAGCTCCTGGCTGCTGGCTGGCTGTTATACTGGTCTCCCTTATTTGGGAGGGCCTTCTGGGGCTAAGATGGCACACAGGTAGGTGTAGTGCTGGTGACCCTCCATCAGAAAGGACATGATCTAGCACCTTTAGAACTGGCTCCTCCCCCCTCCCCACCCCCAGACAGAAAGGTTGGTTTCTGGAAGCCCTGACTAGAACCCCTGAGCCATCTTGAAGTGTGGTGATGGGGCTGAGTCAAAGAACCAAATTGAAAATGGGGGGTGTTGCCTGAGAAAGGCAATGACTGGAAGACACGTCCTTATCCTGCACCTGGTCAAACATGGCTCCTATCAACGTGCTTCCTTCATGAGGATGGGCCATTCATGGTCTTGCCTTTCTCTAAGTTCATTCTCATCCTCACTACAAAGGTCACACTCCTCCGTGTCTTCCTGAGGGTGCAAAATAGCTTGATGATAAACTCCAAAATGCTGTTTAGGGGGTGGGAGGAAGCTAAACTGGTGTTTTCAAAACTATAATGAATCACTAAGGGGGAAAAAATCGGCCAAACCGCTAGACCCCTCAGTATTTCCCCTGCTACATTTCATCCTCTCAGGATGGGAAGGGTCATAATTAAATCCTGCAGTGGGGTAACAGAGACCCCATCTTATGTGGACTAAGAAGCTAATTGCTCCAGAGGCAAATACAAATCGCTGGTGTTTTTGCTAAGCAGGGTACCACTCGCGACAGATAGACGTGCTTCTCTCTCCTTCTCTCTCTCTCTTTTTTTTTTTTTCCATTTTTTTCTTCTCTATTTTGGGTAGAAATATTTCCAGGAAACTAGATAGAAATGCATTTTCATTTCCCAATAATTCTTAGGCACAACTTAGAAAACTGCTGACGTCACTAAAATATGTCAGCACATCATGTTATAAAAAAATGCAATTCAGAATTGCTACATGTGTATACCCACATGTCTGAATTATACCCACACAGTAGTACAAGGAGAGTTTTGTGTATTCAAAACGGAGCTGTTTACAACTGACCTACACTTCTGTGGAAGTTCATCCCTCAAGAACAATTGGAGTTGTTTCTCTTTTGCCTCTAACTACACTAAAACATTTTTGGACACCGGACTTCGCTGCCTACACCTTTCTAAGTGCCAGTACCAGGACGGTCTCACACAGGGGTCAGAGAGGATGCTGCTAAGATGTATATGCAGCTACTGAGCATGCGCACAGGGCAGCCACCAGCACCTGGCCAGCACTCCCTCCGATGGACAGAAGCCTGAGCTCCTGTGGGTGGCAAAGCGATGTCATCTAGGTGTGGTGCTGACTCTGGCTGGAGATGAGGGTCCAGAGGAAGAGCCTCTGTACACTGGGGATGTCGGGGACAATTTAATCGGGCTGGTTGGGTCCCCGGTTTGGAGCTTCCAAAGTAATTCTTCATTGGTTCTGCTCAGTCTCTTCTTTTCTTGGGTCTCTTTCTCCACGTATTCCTGGAGATTAGCATTTTCCTCTGACAGTTGTCTGCATGGGGGAGAATGATGGTCAGGCAGCAGGCCTACCAGTGACACTCAAAGCAGGCTGTTGGACAGAGCACAAGGGCCATACCTCACAGCTCACAGCTCTCTGCTGGGTCAGGGGAGGTAGTGCTTGTGCTCAGAGCAAAGGCTAGGTAGGGGCTGGAGTAGAAAGGAAGGAGATGGTAGGCAGTATGGGCATGCTGCTAGAAGCCCATAGGAGAGGCTGCCTTATAGAGATGGAGATTGCTCATGGCTATGGTCAGGGCACTGACAGACAGCTGCCAATCAACTGGGGATATCTTCCCGTTATCTCCTGCCCTGGATCCATGCTTCTGTGACCAAAGTCTTTAGTTCTTCTGTAGAGTGACCTGTCTGCTGGACCACAAGCCCTAGCGAGCAGGGTCAAGGCTGTTATGTTCTTGTCTGCCATTCAGCATGGAACCCATGCCTGCTCACTGTTTGCTGATAAAGGGGGAAGAAAAGCCAATCCTGTGCCCAAGTGTGTGTGTGTGTGTGTGTGTGTGTGTGTGTGTGTGTGTGTGTGTGTAGTTTCATGATGCTTAAGTTGCTGACTTTATTTCATGTTTTTAATACTTTTTAAAACTTTATATGTATAGGTGGTTTGCCTGCATGTTTGTCTGAGAGCCACTTATATACAGTGCCTTTGGGGGCCATAAGAGGTCATTGGATCCCCTGGAATGAGACTGATAGAGGGCTGTGAACAGCTATCTGGGTGCCAGGAATTAGACTTGGGCCCTTTTGAAGAGCAGCCAGTGCTATTAACCAATGAGTCACCTGCCTAGCTCATTTTGTATATTTAAAAATGACAGCCTCTTCAAGGAATTAGCAGGAAGTACAAATACATTTATAACTGGATAGGCTAAAGTCCAGAAACGGTACTCTGGATCAACACCTGCACTTGCTGTCTGAGGAAGGTGGCTGGGTATATGTGGGCATGTGAGTAATTGGTATGTAAGTAAATGTATATGAATGAGAGTCTGAGTATGAATATGAGTGAAGGTGTGTGCATGTGTACAAAGGAGCATGTGTGCATATGCTTGTGTGTGTATACACAGGAAGCTATGTAATGGCTGCATGGAGGAGACTGGTCCAGCTGAGGGGAAAAGGGTTCAGGCCTGAATCTCACTAGTGTTGTAGAATAATCTTTTAATACACTGTGAAAATGTGCTTTTGCCAAGGCACCTTCTGATTGGCTTAACAAAGAGCTGAATGGCCAATAGCTAGGCAGGAGAGGATAGGCAGGACTTCAGGGCAGAGAGAAGGAGGGAAGGAGGGAGGGAGGAAGGGAGGGAGAGAGGAAGGGAGGGAAGGAGCAAGTGAGAGAGAGAGAGAGGGAGGGAGAGAGGGAAAGAGGGAGAAAGAGAGAGGAGATCAATGTAGGTGCCAGAGAGATGCCAGAGGACACGAAGAGGGAAGAGAGGTAAAAAGGCACAAGGCAAGACGTAGAATAATATAAATGAGTTAATTAAGTTCTAAGAGCTTATGGGCCAGGCTTTCATAATTAATAAGCTGGCGGGACAGAAAGTGACTGGTTACACACTAGGGTGACTTAGCCTTGCTGAGCAAAGTAAGCTGCAGCTGGCCTCCAAGCTCTGTTTTCACTCCACTCTGAGCCGAGGTCAAGGGGGATTCCTGATCCTTCCTTGGAATCAGGGCTTCCGAGAGAAGACCCTGCAGGGATAAGCTGACCTGAGCTCCGGAAATCTACCTAGCTATGGTTTTAGCCCCGGGACACCCTGCTGATGCCCCTCTTCCAATCTCCAGGAAGCAATCGCAGCCCCTGCTGTGGGGCCCCTGCTGCCCTTGCTTGTGGTCTGTACTGTCTTGTCCAGGGGGACAGGGCAGATCTGATGCACAGTCAGGATGTGCACTGAGGGGACACAGCCATGTGCCCTTCTTCTGCTTGCTTGAGAGGTGCCAGCTTATTCAGGCTGGACATGGGGACATGCAGATGTTCAAGGACATGGAATCAGCAGCCAGGCCTACTCACCTGGTGACAACAGTGTTCTGGTCAATCCTGGCTTTGAGGTCTTCATTCTGCTGCTGGAGAACTTGGATCTTTTCTTCCAGGATGATATTCTTCTCCACCTAGGAGAGGGACACCACTGAAGGAATTCCCACAGGCCAGCAGGAAGCCAGCGGCCCTGCCTTCTGCACTTGGGAGGATTGCTAGGAACAGTAAGTACTTCACTAACTGCTCTCCACAATGGCCTCATGGGCTGGAAAGTCACATGAGATGGATAAGACTAGATAGCATTTCGCTTAAAAAAAAAAAATGAAGAGAAAATGCCAGACTGCACTGTAGGTAGTAAAAAGCACTGTGGTAAACATTTTAGGAGTGTGTGTGTGTGTGTGTGTGTGTGTGTGTGTGTGTGTGTGAGAGAGAGAGAGAGAGAGAGAGAGAGAGAGAGAGAATAAAAGAGGGAGCTGTTATAGGTTATAGGGAGAGCTAGTTCTGAGTTCCAGGCACACAACTTGTTTGTTTTTGTTGTTGCTTTTTAAATTGAATGTTCTAGGTCACTGTCATGGTCAGAGACAAGTGGTGGACACCACTAGGGCCTAGTCTGACAAGTAGGCGTGGTTATATATTATTTATGATTTAATAAAGGTTGCCTGAGGGTGTAGAAAGCAAAGCCAGCCACACTAGTTAGCTATAGAAGCCAGATGGAGGTGGTATATACATAGAATCCAACCACTTGGGAGGTAGAGTTAGATGGATCTCTGTTAGTTCAAGGCCACACTGAGCTACACAAAATTGACCCAGTCCTAAAGAGAAACAGCTCACACAAAGATGATCTCAGCACTTGGGATCACACGCCTTTCATCCCAGCACTGCAGAGGTATAAAGAGCAAAGGGTCTCATATGGAGATTGATTCTCAAATCACATTGAGGGCAGGCAACAGTCTAAGAGGCTTGGTAAGGGCTCAGGGAAACAGGACAGCCCTTTCAGCTGAGGCAGAGGTGAGAGCTAGTGACCAGCTGCTTTGCTTATCTTATCTTCAGCTTGAACCCCAATATCTGTCTCTGGGATTTTGTGATTCATGCTATAATTGGTCCTGTGTTCATCTGTAGAGTATCATTGTCCCTTGCCAGATGCTACACTCAGGGCTTCTGAATTAGCAGGGCTAGAGAGCCAAGTTCTGTGGGGACATTTTTTCCTTTCCAGCCAGAAACACAAAACAAATAAACCCAGAAGCCTAGGGACTCTTCTTATTTTGAAAGATACAGAAGCAATGGTCAATTTTAAAAACCTAGGGAGAAAGCCTTGGCACCGTGTTTGGAAATCCTGTTATGGCTGCTGTGTCCCCGGTTTATGCCATCCATCTGTCACTGTGGGATCTTGCTGATGTGTGCTTTCCTTCTAAGTTTAGATTTTTTTTTTTTTAAAGTAGGGTTCACTCTGTAGCCATGTTGGCTGGAACTTGCCATGTGACTTAGGCTTCCCTAGAACACATGACAATCTTCCTGCACTAGCTTCCCAGCTGCTGCAATGACTGGGGTGAGCCACTAGGCCTGGACTGTCTTGTGAAAGAGGGAATCACATTGATAGTTAGCTAATCTTTAAAGAAAACTGCCACTTGCCAACAAATAGGACTTGAGGATCCTTGCCAAGGACTGGAGCAAGGCACCCTATCTGGGCCTTCATTTATTCCCAGGAAGCAGAAAATAACAGATTTCTGGGACACGAAGTCCTGGAGGCCGCCTGAAAGCCAGATCGTGACTGAGCACAGCCAGATCAGCCCAGGGGCTTGTGGGTGGCCCTATGCAGACAGTCCAGTCACCAAGAGGAAGATGGATGGCTGCTTTGAGAATCACCCTAGACAGAATATGTGGCAAAATCAGGTCAGTGCATCCCCTGTGGTCCGTGGTAGATGCTGGGCTGCTGGAATGAGCCACATGACCCCCATTGGCCAGGACTGTGGTAACAGACACACCTGTCTTCCCATTGCCTAGTATGTACCTGTGTGACAAGAGATACGTGCAGCTGGAGGGCAACACATGCAAATGCAGCAGCTGCTGCCCAGTTAACGCCTGGCTTGGCTAAACCAGTTGCAAAGAATGTTCTAGAGACAAATGGGGATGAGATGTCCAGTAACTAACTCCTCTAAGTTATTTGTATGACACACACCTGTGATCTCAGAACTCAGGTAGTGGAGGCAGGAGGATTGTAAGTTTCAGACCAGCATAGACTACACAGCAAGACCCTAGCTAGTAAAAAAAACAAACAAACAAAAAAACCTGTTCATTGGAAGTGAGCTATAAAATATTGTACAAGACAAAATATGGTGGGGGGGCCCACATGTTTGCATGGGGGGTATCAAGATATACCTCTAAGAAGTGTTAATAGTAGAAGGAATGTGATTTTTTTTGTTGTTGTTGTTTTGTTTTCTTGAGACAGACTCTCTGCGTATCCCTGGCTGTCCTGGAACTCAACTCTGTAGACCAGGCTGGCCTTGAACTCACAAAGAACCTCTGCCTCTGCTTCTGGAATGATGGGATTAAATGTAGGGCTAGAATATGATATCTTAATTTTCATATTTTTGTTTATTTTATAATTTTCTACAATATACATGTTCTCTCTTCCTCTTTTATAGTAGCAAATAATTATTTTAAAATAATAAACAAAGGGGGCTGGAGAGATGGCTCAGCCACTAAAAACATGTATGGCTCTTGTGGACCCAGCACACATGTCAGGCAGGTCATGACTACCTGCAACTCCAGCTCCAGGGGATCTGATGCCCTCTTCTGGCCTCAGTAGGCACTACACTCACATGCACACATAGCACATAGCACATAGACATAATTTTTAAAAACTTTAAAATTAATAAAAAAAAAAGAAAAAAGTTAATAAACTATTTAGGGCTTTGGGCCCTGCAGAGGTCACTATCTCTGCACTGTGAATTCCTTTCAGGAACCCTAACCCTTACCTGGGTCTTGGGCCTCTAGGAGAAGGCAGAACAGGGCCCTGTCCTCCTAGGGGTTTCCCTTGGCTAGTTCCCAGGAACCAAGCTGAGGACTGAGGTACAAAGTCTTTGCTATGATAGGATGCTCCTATCCTTCCTCCGCAGCTATGAAGTAATAGTACCAGGATGTGGAGGTGACTGGCTCATGATGGTGGCCCCCCCATGACTGAGATCTCTGCTCCTTCTGCCTCATGAAGATTTGGGGACATTCTGCCCAGGCTGCCATGTGGGCTCACAGTCTGGATGTAACTGTCCCTTTCTGAGGCTTCTCCCTTGTGCTCATAGCAGCACAGGTGAGCTACTGGAAAGGAAGGACAGAGCTTTGCCCAGGCCTGATGCACGCACAGCAGTGATGGACGGTTCCTGTGCCGCCTCGGTGTTGGAAGGGACATGGCAAAGACCGGTGAAGTAACACAAGGAGGCACTGGGGCTCCTTGTCAGAAGTTCTGCTGTGTGACAAGGGCTTCCAGGCTCAGCTATGTGTCCTGTTCAGCTGCAAACAACAGAACAACAGGCAGGGGGCACATGCCTCCTGGGCACTGTCATCTGTCGTCCATGAGCACACTGAGTCACAGGGGTCAGGCTCTGCAGCAAGCAGACCAACTCACCAGCTTTTCCAGCTCTATGATCTTCTTCTCCTGCAGGTGGATTTGCTGGTTCTTCATCTCCAACACCTGCTTCAGGCTCTGCATATCTTCTTCCAGGTGCTGGTATGGAGCCAATGCAATCTACGAGGGCAGAGAGGGTGCGCTTTATGCCAGGTTCCTGGCACAGCCCACTGTGACCCACGGCTATGAATTGGCTTAGTGTGGTGTTGTCATGCTCCTCCAGTGTGTGGCCACAGCATGTGAGGGAGCAGATAGCAGCAACTCTGATGGGGAATCCCTGGGGTAACACAAGCTCTGAACATCCTTCCAGAGGACTTGAGCGTCTGGAGCCTCACCTGCTCCATCTGAGTCCCCATAAACTCATGCATAGGAAATAAGCCAAGTGGTTTAAAAAGCACTGTGGATGGGGCGTGGCGGGGGGAATCTCACAAGGCCACATCTCTGAATGAAGAGCTATGGGCAACCAATGGCTACTGAGAGAGGGAAAGTCAGTCTTCTCCAGGAATGAGCCCCCTGACAGGTTATCCAGTCTCAAGTGATTAGCACATGTATATATGAGCATCACTAGATGGGCTTAGCAGGTTCTATCTGTCTTTTTGTCATCATCATCATCATCATCATAATAATAATCAAAGTTGAAGAGGGCAGGGAGGAGTTGGAGGGGGACGAGTGTGAAGTAGAAATGACGTAAATGTAGTATTCACAGATGACATTCTAACAATAATAAATGTTAAAGAAAGTTAAACATGTTCATTGTATTTAAGATACTGGTCCCTATTTTTTTTTAAAGCCATTTATGAGAATGACATGTTAGGGTTGGTGGATTTAAGTAGGCAGTAAAAGGCGGGACATCAATTAGAACTGGAATTTCAGGTAGACAACACTGAAAAAATTCAAGCTAGCTGTGGCAGTTTAGGCTTGTCAGAGAGGCAGAGGCAGAAGGGTGGGATGTTCAAAACCAACCTAGGCAATTTCATGGGACTCTGTCTCAAAATGAGGAGGGGGGAGGGGGCTAGAGATTTGGCTCAGTGGTAGAGCACTTGCCCAGCACACATGAAGCCCTAGGTTCAATCCACAACACCACGGGGTAAAAACAGTATAATAGTTCAATAGGAGATGTTCATTCTTAACTTTCACCTCTCTCCAGTATGCACTGGATGGTAGGAGGTTTTCCAGTCTCAGTTGCCCTGTCCTGTGCCAGCCTAAAGTGCAGTTGGAGAGGAGTTCACATCATAAGCACCCAAGGACCTTGCCTGAGGAGTGCTGTGGGATTTGGCAGAAATGGCAGGTTGCTGGAGAGACCCGTGGTTATGTCTATCTCAGGAAGAGATACCCACAGGCACTATGTACACCTCCCAACGAAGTTGGGACCGGCTTTCTCTGCAATAGCAGGACTGCAGAGGAAGCCAGCTCATGTCGCCACCCAATGGGCAGCCAAACCAGTCATGACTACCTCCAGCTGCTCCTCCGTGGTCTTCCTTAGCGCTTCCTCAAAGCGCTGGGCTCTGTCCCGCAGAGACCGGCTCTGAAAAGTCAGCGTGTCCACCTGGTCCTGCAAGTGACAAAAAGAAGTGTTTCCCCAGGGACCAAATGGATGGACACTGTGGGCTGGTCAGCTCGGGGAGGGTGTGCCAGTTGGTTTTCATCAACTTGACATAAGCCGGGAAGGGAGAATTTCAATTGAATTGCCTCCATCGGAGGTAATTTTCTCCAGTAATAATTAATGTGGGTATTTTCTCCAGTAATGATTAATGTGGGCGGACCCAGCCCATTGTGGGCGGAGCCATCCCTTAGCAGATGGTCCTGGGCTATATAATAAAGGTCAGTACTGCTGTACTCCCTGGTCTCTTCATCAGTTCCCACCTCCATGTCTCTGCCTTGCATTCCTGTCTTGGCTCCCCTCAGTGATAAGCTGTAACCTATCAGCCAAATAAACCCTTTCCTTCCCAAGTCGCTTTGGGTCAGTGTTTTATCACAGCAACAGAGAGAGTCGCAAACTAGGACATGGGAGAGAGGACCAGCTGTCCTTCACCAGGATCCTCGAAATTACAGGTTCACTGATGACCCCCTAATGATCTTTCTGACCTCAAGCAGGGCTGGGCTGCTCTGTGAGTGGAGCCACCCATTCTGATCCAGTTTAATTCTCTCCCCAATAGCCCAGCAGCCCTGCCTTCTGGCAGTGGACTGTGTGTGCTGAAGGAATGATGGCATGCCTATGGTACATTCGGCTTTGGTTCGGATCAAATGTGACTAAGGACACCTTTTCACCCAATCTCAGCCATGGCGACAGTGATGTCATCACACCACAAGAAGGATGCTTGCCAGCGCCTCTGGACTCTCCATGACTCTGAAGATCACTCACTGAGGAGCCCACACGTCTCCCCACTGGCTCCATTTCTGCTGGATTAAAACACAGGTGCCAGGAGCTTTCATGAACTCTTCCAGCAAGAGCGTCCATCAGTGATCAGAAGGAGCTGGGGCTTGCAAATGAGGTGACTTTGCACACCAGCCCCATGCGTGTGCCAGCCCCCAGGGCTACTTTCTCAGTTTTCACGCTTCCCTGGGCAGGTTCATTTCCCTCTCCTCTTCTGCAAGTCACTTGCCTTTCATTTTTAAGAAACAGAAGTCCCCATGTTGCCATTAGATGCACATGGGGACAATATAGCTGCCAGTGGGAGTTTGTGCTCACATGCGCTGAGGAGCAGAAATGTCAGTTTTGAAGAACTTCCTCTGGGCCAGCACTGGGCTATGTCACCATTGCCTTCACCTTCCAGAATGGACTATAAAATTCCTCCCATATCATTGCCTTCACCTTCCAGAATGGACTATAAAATTCCTCCCATATCATTGCCTTCACCTTCCAGAATGGACTATAAAATGCCTCCCATATCATACTTCTCAGTTATTTGAGGACCTCTCTCTCTCTCTCTCTCTCTCTCTCTCTCCTCTCCTCTCCTCTCCTCTCCTCTCCTCTCCTTCTCCTCTCCTCTCCCCTCCCTCTGGTTTTTCAAGACAGGGTTTCTCTGTGTAGCCCTGGCTGTTCTGGACCTCACTTTGTAGATCAGTCTGGCCTTGAACTCACAGAGCTCCATGTGCCTCTGCCTCCAAGGGCTGGTCTGGGGGGGGGGTGCCCCAGCAGGAAGTATCTCTTGTAAGCCTCTTTCCCACCATTAAAAACAATCACTCCCCAGGATGGGTCTAAACCATCCAACCCGCATCTTTCTGCCTTGTTCAGTATTCTAAACAGACCTGCAGGGATGGAAGGACCCTGCAGCAGTCAAGACACAATGGAATGTTTTTCAGCCCACAGCCCATGTTGCTACTTTGTATCATTCTAGCGGTGTGACCCAGCACCAGCCTTTCAGAAGTCAACAAATAGCATGCAATTAATAAATAACCGTGGCACCTGTTGGGGCTGCTTATAGCAGCTGTTTCTCCTTGGCTCTCATTACAAACCAGCATCTTGCTTTCCTTCATCTGCTTGAGAATGCTACTGTTATCCCCATTTCACAGGTAAATAACTGAGGCTGGTAGAGGGTGCATCATTATCCCAGATCTAGAACCAGTAAGAATTGGCAGAGTGGAGATTTGAATCTCTAACTGCCAAACCTAGCAGTTTCTCTAGCTGTTTAGTGGTCTATCTTCCACACCCCAATATGTGGCTCAAAAAGTTTCTGCTGGGTGGAGTTACAGAATTGCATGGCCTTTGAGTGCCAGGGTAGAAAGGACATGCTAGACAAGCACCCCAGAACACGTTTTCTGCAGTGTTCTCTCTGTGACCCTGGAGTCTTTCCTTGTGGGATGGGTTTATTGTGACAGAGATGTCACCAAAAAAGCAAGATTCTTATACACATTACAGTCACGGGAACAGTCTTCCTGACTTCTACACGAGTGACCCTGACATTGAAAAAGCCGTCATCTCTAGTCAGGATCTCCCCAGCTGGGATCAAGGCTGGCCTGTCCCATCGCCATGCCTTCCCAGGCAACGTGCTCTAAGGCTGGGGCTGCTGCTGGCCTTTCAAAGGCAGCTGGCTGGCCTCTAGTTGGCAGGAGGGAGGTGAACTCTCCCTCTGAAGACCAGGAGGTCTCAGCTGCCATGAGATCAACACCCCCCCACCCCCCACCCCCGACAGTGAGAGGCAGCAAGGGTGCTTTTCATTTGTTGTCTCCAGATAACCCAAGTTCATCTTTGCAACATCATTCTTGTCTAGACTTTCTCTTCCCACCTCCACCCCACTTTTCAGGCACCTCTGACACAGTAAATGCCCATTAACTTCATTAGTGTTCTCTGGCTGCATTATTCCTGAGGCATAAGGGGCTTCTTGGTGCTTTTATAGTTTCCCCACAGTTCTGTGAGGAGAGAACCAACTTCTAAAGGATGGGGGATGTGTTTTCCTTGTCTCCATATTCCAGTACACAGCAGGTGTCAGATAAAAGTTTGCAAGTGAGCTGTTAAGGCGACACTAACCTGTAACGAGAGCCGCAGTTTTTCAAAGTTTTCTTCCAATTCCTTCTTCTCAAATTCATGGGTAGCTATCAGTTCTGGAAAGAAGAAAGAAAAAAAATCAAATCACTAAATGGGCCTTTCTTTTGGTAAGCATGGAACAAGGCTGTTTGGGTAGATGAGGATACGTGACTCGGGGGACACAAATGGTGGACAGCTACAGCAGATTCAAGGTTTCCTCTGCTCATTTGAAGTTGACTGTGGTGATCCGAATGTGACTTACAAGATAAGGGGAGAAGTGAGTGGGAGAAAAAGAGATGAGGGAGGAAAAGGCAGGAAAGAGGGAGAGAAAGCACACACGTGTGTGCGCCAGGGCATTCACACACACACAAAAACACACACACACACACACTTGTGTCTGATGCACCATGTTGGCCATGTGAGAGTCTTTGTCAACAGCACCAGCTGAATGCCCCACCTTTGCTAATGGTGAAACTGGTGATTTCTTCCGTTTCTGGGATTTGGCCTCCCAGCTTCAAAGCATCCATGTCGGGCTGAGGAAGGAGCTTTCCAAGCTGGGCGCAACCGGAAGAGACCTCTTGCCAACTATGCTTGATGCCAAGTTCATGTGAGGGATCAGTGCTTCGTCAACAAGGATATCTGGTGGCCTCTGGGCCACACTTTGTGGACTAGGGGTTCCCAGGATTTGCTTGAACAAAGACTGGTTATTAGACACACGGCCTGAAGGAAAGGTTGACTGCTCTGTCTCTCCTAGGGGCGTTGGGATAACCCTGTTCTGTGTAAAGCCAAATCCAAGCAGTAACTTACAGGTTATGCAGGTGAAGGTGATGTAGGTGATGAAGGTGATGTAGGTGTTTAGCAAATGTATTCTGTTTCCTCCAGATAGGAAGAGTCTTATCAGCTGGGTAAGGTTCGTCTCACCCTGGCTAGACCACCAATTTGTTTTCCTGGTATGATAGACTGTTGATGGTCTCCTTAATCTGCCTGGATCCTGTTCTTGGAACAAGAGAGTCTTGGATACTAACAATTACCATTTAGGCCACTGAGAGCTGTAATTAGGAAAATGTGTGTGGTTTCCATCAGCTCAGATCTTTAGCTATAGTTTCGAGGGCTGTTAAGAATTTAGTTTTCATAGCCAAAGTTTTCATCTCTGGAAAAGTAGAGTTTGTGTGGATTTCACTGACTTTATTTTTTATATTTATTGTATGTGTACCATGTGTATGCCTGGTGCCCAGGGAGGTTCAAAGGTCAGTTCCAGTGTTCACTCTGGAGTGAAGGTCTTGTATTACTACAGTTGGATTTTGTGTGTCCCCCCCCCCCAAGATCTACCTGTGAAAGAGGCCATGGTGGTGAAAACATTAAAGAGTGGCATCTCATAGGAGTTCTGCCCACTCTGCCCCTCTCCTTGATCTCTTTTGCCTGTTAAGTGGCTCAGCCTCAGGACCGGTTTTCTATGGTGTACTGCCTCACTGCTATCCATGGCAACAGGGCTAACCAATCACAGATCAGAATGTCAGAAGCAGTTTACAAGTGGTTTCAAGTGTATTCTTACAGTAAAGTAAGGTGGGCTAACGTGAAGTATGTGCCAGAGAGTGGTCACAGCACACACAAGAGGCCAAAGAGACTGGCGTCCCCATCCCTTTTGAGGCCACATCCCTAATGACCTAAAGATTTCTTGCTAGGTGTTCTATCTCTCTCTCTCTCTCTCTCTCTCTCTCTCTCTCTCTCTCTCTCTCTCTCTCTCTCTCTCTCATTCCATGGCTTCTCATTTTGTCACAATGGGGAACAAGCCTCTGGCACACAAGCCCATCGGGGGTCACAAGTCACAATGAAACCATTGTACAAAGATAATTAAGTTCCCAAATGAGTACAGTAAGAATCTATAGACTTAAATTTGCTTCATGCTGAGTGTAAACAAGGGGTAAGAACTCTAGAGATGCTACCATTGCTAAGAGCATCACACAGGCACTTAGTCTCATCAGGAGATATGCAGGACAAGGCCCAAGTTATCTGTGCCTACTAAAAGGATGGTCCCTTATGTTTACTCCACCTTGAGTTACCCTAGAAACTGTAAAAAAAAATCTCATACCTGCTGGGCAGTGGGGTCTCATGTCTTTAATCCCAGCACTCGGGAGGCAGTGGTAGACAGATCTATGTTAGTTAAAGGCCATCCTAGTCTACAGAGTTCCAGGATAGGCTCCAAAGCTATACAGAGAAGCTCTGCTCAAAAAAAAAAAAAAAAAAAGAATCCTTTGGAGGAGGGAAATAGCAAATAATAGTTGTCTGGATTCATAAAGTTTTAGACATGGGCCTGGAGATAGAACCCAGGGTCTACTGCATGCTTCCCCAGTCCCGAATGAAGCCTTGCTTTCTAATTTTTCTTCTCTCAGGAATGAACACACAGGCTGCAGCAGAAAGATAAAAGGACAGAAAAGGAGAGGAGGGATCCCTTGTTCTGTCCCCAGAGGAGTTCAGAGGGGTTCAGCTTGCCCATTGACCCGCTGCGCACAGGTTCATAGATACCTTGAACTTTGTGGTCGTGGTCATCCTGCAGGATGGTGATGGCAACTGTGTGGTTGTTTTCCATTTCCAGCAGAGCAGCCTCATGACTGGCAGTGATTTCTTCCACCTAAAGGAAAGGCATGGTTACTGGTTATCCAGGGAGCTGTGTTGGCTGTCAGGATTATCTTCACTGTTTGGAAAACATAGATGCAACTCAATAAAAAGAAAAAGTCAGTTGTCCTGCCAAAGACAGTTACTCCACTGGGATGACTGACACTCCCGGTCTACAACCAAAGTGAATTCAGGATTTGTGGTGAGGTGACATTTCCTCATTACAGAAATAGATGCTCAACTCCTCTGGGCAGTGGTGGTACACATCTCTAACCCCAGTACTTGGGAAGCAGAGTCAGGCAGCTCTCTATGAATTCAAGGCCAGCCTGGTGCACAGAGCTAGTTCTAGGACAGCCAGAGCTACACAAAGAAACCCTGTCTTGGAAAACCAAAGAAAACCAAACCAACCAAACAAAACAACAAAGTTCCACTCAGGAAGGACTGTCCTGGCCACCTCTGTAGAGTCCTGGACCAATCCATCACATGCTCTTCCTTCACCCTTCAAGGAAGTGCTGGGGTAGGAAAAGCAGTCTTCCACCCTCTTCTCAAGTTTTCCTAGTGTTAGGTGAGTGGGGACTATTCTTTCCAAAGTTCTCAGAGTCTACCTCACTCCACCCTTACGAGGTAGGTATTCTATACCCATTTTGCAGATGAGGAAACCAAGGCTTAGGTTTAACATGTTTCATCTAAGAACTAGTAAGTGGCAGAGATAAGCAGGTATCTCCAGCTCTGTCTGACTCAAGTGGTGCTCTTTTCTCAAACACACACAGTGACAGCTTCCTCTCTAGGTACCACCGGCAAGTGACATGCTAGGACCTCCTCCCCAGTTCCCAGGTGAGGCCAGTAGGCTCACACGCATCCTCTTCACCAAGGTCCTAAGCCTAAGCTTGCCTTCAGGTTGCCACTTGCTGGGCCTCTCTGCTGACCAGACAGACAACTCAGAGCTGCTCCCATGAAGGGTTTCCCACTCTCTGTTTGCAGGTATATTTCCAGGAGTTTAATCACAAGTGTGCCACCCATCCCATATGTTTTTGTTTTCACTTTTGTTTTTCAGTGCTGGTGACTTAACCCAGGGCACAGGGCCTTGCACATGCTAGGCAACCACTCTGTCAATGACTGACACAGCCAGCCTCATTTTCATACTTTCTGATTCCCTATCCAAAGACTGTACTGCCTACAGTGTTTACTCTTTTGTTTGTTTATTTGGTTTGCTTTTCACACCCTTATTGGGGGTCAACAAATTCTATCAGTGGGAATATTCATAGGTTCTTCAGCCATTCCAAGCTTGGGTCCTAAGAGTCCTGGGAGCACATCCAGCTTGTTCCCATTATTCTGCATAGGCCCTGAGCAGTTGTAGGGTATGATTAGGTTGATCATAGTGGCATACTTGGTTTAGGGACTAAACTGAAGAATAATTATATCTTATACTGGATTAGAAGACGAGTGACTTCTGCTCAAGCTTCAGGCAATGGAATTCTGGTGGCTTATTTATCCCTGGGACTGTCTTCTTACCTCTAAAATGGAGATAGGAAGGGTCATCCCGTAGGATGATGGAGTCAGTGTACATCAAGTGTTGAAAGTAGTGGCTGGCGCAGAACCAGTTCTAAGTACATGTTTGCATAGCACCTCTGCCCACAAAGAATACGCGAAGAACAGATGACCAATAAGAGACAAGTGTAAAACTGCAGTCTTAGATAAGTTCTCACTCAGAAGCTAACTTTAGACCTAGAAAGAGGAGAGGGAGCCATGGTGCTTGCAGGGCCAACATTCTCTGGGTTCAGAGAGAGCCAGAATGAGGCTGGAGAGTGAACTTGACCTGTTTCCTCAAGTGGTCCAGGCTCTTCTCCTCCCATGACTGGTGCTGAGCCGCCTAGCCAACTCACCTGCTCCTGGTGCTGGCAGCGCATGCGCAGCAGCTGGTCCTGGTGCTCTGCCTGCAGGTGCGCACTCTCCGCCTGGAACTGTTGCTGTAGTCGCTCCTGCAGCTCCTGCACCTCAGCCTGCTGCTGCCAGCCCAGCCTCCTCAGCTCCTCCTCGAACCGCCTCTCCAGTGCCTCCTTCTCCTTCTGCAGTTTCTCACACTTGGCGGTGTTGAAGGCTGTGGGGGAAGCACGGAGTTCTTTAGCACAGTGGGGAGCAGCTGAGGGGATGACCCACCACAAGCCCACCTGAGGCTTTCAGAAATAAAACTGAAACAGGAACCACAGTAGGGTGCTTGGCTCCGCACGTGCTCTGAGCACCAAAAACTGATTAAAGACGTAAACAAATAAAAAAAAATGTGCCATAGCCGGGGTTGGTGGCACACGCATTTAATCCTAGCGCCCTGGAGGCAGAGGCAGGGGATCTCTGTCAGTTCGAGGTCAGCCTGGCCATCCAGGGCTACACAGTGAGGCTCTGTCTCAAAAATAAGTAAATAGAGAAACAAATAAACCACAAACACCTCAAAACCTAGTTTAGCACAGTATATTATCACATAAGACTCCCTTCCCCTGAACCGTTTGAGAATAAGATGCCGATTGGCTGTCCCACTATGCCCCAATTCCCTAGCAAGTATGCCCTACTTACACACAAGGCCAGCACACTCAGGAGATTGAAATTTTCTCAATCAAGGCTCAAAGTTTTCCTATTGATACTGCTTGCTTCCCGGTATTGTTAGACAATTGTTTTCAAGACTTGCTGGTACAGATATTACAGAAAATATAACAAACGTGTTCTCCCATGTCACTTTTCATTAGGATGAGCTTTCAGGAGTGGAAGTTACAAGGCTTTAAAGACTATAGGTGTATTTAAAGACTAAGGTTGCCCTTTCCCTAAATTTCATAGTTATCCAGTAATAAACTTGTGACCACGAGGGGGCGGTATAGCACCTGAAAAACGTGCCCTGGGGGGGAACACATTACCCGGAACGACTTTCTTTCTTAATTCTTCTTTTTGGTGAAAATGCTAAGAGGATAAATAAAAGAAGTGGCTAGAAATGAACTCTGAGGTATTCACTAAGGGAGAATAAGTCAGAGAGTCACCAGCCCACCTGTTGTGTGTGTAGAGACATGTTACTCCCAGGGCATGGTGGCTGCATCAAAGCTAGCTCAGACTAAATAGGAGCTGCCATCTGTAGCTTTGTCTTACCTAGACAGGGACTCCTGCTCCCAACAGCCCTACTATATGTCTAGTAGGCAGCCTACATCCCATCTGCAAAGAGCAGAAAGTGGAACTAACTAGTTCAAGGTCAAGGCAAGGTGTACAGTAGAGCCAGGAGCATGGACAGTCTTCATGATGAACCAGCACAGCATTGTAATGTCTCCAGGATATTGACCTGTAGTTAAGTGGTAGAGTATGTGCAAGATGTTGGGGGTCCATTCCCAGCATCTAAAAGATAACTACTGATTGAATTTAAGGAGCCCCTGCTGAGTGCCAAGCACAGTTCTAGGCACAGTGGCAGGAAGGCAGGCTATCACAGAATGAGTAGTGGCTTGAATGAGAAAGGTCCCCTTAGTCTCAGACATTTGATCATTTGGTCCCCAGTGGGTGGCCGTTTGGGGAAGTTTAGGAGGCACAGGCAGCCTTTCTGTAGGAAGTATGTTGCTGTGGGCAGATGGACTTTAAGCTTAAAAGAAAGAGCAAGTACATTGTGAGATGGGAGTTCAGGTAGAGAGAGATGCAAGTTCGGTCCTCATGTGGGCATTAGTTAGTCTGAGTCCAGTGATAATGTGTGTAGTGCTTGGTCAACAATGGACTCCCTGCCTTCCATCTGAACATGCAAAGGCCCTGGGGCAGGCAAGGTTCTGGTCTAACTAAGGAACAGAAAGGCCACTGATGGACCAACATCCTCAGAGGAGGGAGGTCGAGTTACCTGGGGTTACACTATGGCTTTGTGGTTATGTTCCTGAGACAGCTTCATGTTCCCAGAGTCTCAAAGAGGGGGAGAAAATAATGATTTTCATCCAGATAGCTGTATGGAAAACAATTTGTGAGACAAGGAGAAGAGTTCAGGTGACTTGGATGACTCGGATGAGGGATGATGCATGCAGAGGGAAGGGTAGATGAGGGGTGCATGAGGAAGTGAGGGAGACCTGATTTACAGAGATGAGGGCTAGGCAAGAGTCTAGAAAGACCCAGTGGTTGGTCTGAGCAGTGAGACATGGTGGCACTCTTCAGGGAGATGGGAACACTGAAGGAATCCCACTAGGGACACTTAGGAGCCTTTGTGGAACTAATAGGCCTATTGTTAAACAGTTGGGGATATTCTGTGGCCCACTGGCCTCAGGAAATCCCCTCTGGCTTTCAGGGCATAGATATTGTCAATTGGTATAAAAAAAAAAAAAAAAAACAAAAAAAAAAAAAAAAAAAAAAAAACAAAAACTGAGGCCTGCTGGGTCTTGAGAAGTTCCATGACATCGTATTGAGTGTCTATATGTCAAGTTCACACCAAGTAGCCTTTTAATGGTGTCAGTTCTTCAGAGATTGAGGCCTTGGGGCAGACTAGAATTAGCGAGTCTCCTCCAGATAACACCCCACTCTGAGGGTCTGTAAATGGTTCGTGCAAAGACACAAAAGGTGTGTCCATCTTAGAGTGGAGAGCACTCCCTAGCTCCCATGAATCTTTGCAATACTGTGACTCTTCAAGAGCAAACTCTGGATAGCAGGAGATGAGGAAGAGTGGAGGCAGGAGTGGAAGGACAGGTGGACAGAGGCACTGAGAGCAGACAGGCAGAGGCCAGGCCACAGCAGAAAGTCTGTCCCAGCTGACCTAGGCATTAAATGGGATCAACACCAGATACTGGGTTTCTCAAAGTCATCTGGCCTCTCCGAGCTTCATATCAAAGCAGGACATTGGTTGCATTGCGCCCTCGCTATGGTTTGAATCTGAAACCTCTCCCATGGGCTCAGGTTTTGCATAGTATTCTGTCTAGTGATGTTGTTTTGGGAGGTGGTAGAGTCTTTAAGAGGAAACTGGTCACCAGGTGTCTTTGAAGGTTACATCTGACCTTCAAGTCTTGTCCCACTCTCTGCCTCCTGTTTTAGCATCACAGGCCTATCATAGTGAGCCAGGTCCCCAGAGGGTTCCATTGTGTTCTCTGCAAAGACAGATGTGTGTGTCATTTTGTTTCATTGATTCACTTCCACTGGAAACATTTATTCCGGTGTTTTGCCTGCGTGTATGTCTGTGTTCCTGGTGCCTGCAGAGGCCAGAAGAGGCACCAGATCTCCTAGAGATGGCGTTCCAGATGGTTGTGAGCTGCCGTGTGGGTGCTGGGAACTGAACCTAGGTCCTCTGCAAGAGTAGCTAGTGCTCTTAACTGCTGAACTGTCTTTCCTGCCCTGGGTGTATTATTTTGTGTTTGAATTTCCTACAAAACATACTCCCTAAAGAGAGGAGCTTCAATCCCAGAGAAAAATGTGCTTTTACACAGAATTACTTGTTTCTCAGCGATGCAAGAAATGAGAAGTACCAACAGAGGCTGGTGTCTGTGTGTGCTTTGTAGTTTATGCAGTGGTTTTGATGGGGGCGTCTCATCATTTGATGAGCCTCAGGCATTTGAGCACTTGATCCCCAGCTGGTGGTGCTGCTGTCTGAGGAAGTGTTGTGGGACCTTTAGAAGGTACAGTCCCTGGAGGAAATAGGCCACTGGAGGAATTTTGAGAGGGCACAGTTTTGCCCCACTTCAAGTTTGCTCTCTTTATAATTGTGGTTAGAGATGTGATCTCTCAACTCCCTGCTCCTGCTGCCATGCCTCCCCATCATAATGGACGCTTATCCTGGAATTCCACTTATGTGACCTGCATCTCAGGAATGCCCTATGGAGCAGTAAGACCCTGTTACAAAGTGATATGAGAAACAGCAGACATTAAAAATCCCAATTGATTCAAAGTCTCTCCATAGTCATTCATGTATTCTTTAAGATGAACAGTCAATGAACTGATGGTGATTGGTCCCATGTGGGACAGTAACTGCAATGTGTCTAAGTTCCATCTTGGAGGGAGGGGATGGTTATAGGCATGATTTACAGGCAAAGGGGGAAAGAGGAAATTGATGTGAGATGGTTTAAAGATTTTGACAAGAGAGATTATGCTGTCCAGATGAGAACTGGTAACACACCACTCATAGACAGGGAATGGCCTTCTGAAGACATCTCTGCCTGGAGCCTGTTCCTTTGTTTTGCCCATTTAATTTGGGTATCTAGACCTTTAAGGGCATCTCTACAGCATTGACTTCCACAGCTCACTATGTACATAAATAACTCACTAGCTTGGGTTTTCTGTGACCAGACCAGGGAAGGGTAGCTAATGGCTCTGAATGGCCAAAGTGTTTGCTTATTTACTATTCTATTTGTTTCCCTGTGTAAAGTGACATCAAAGAGTGAACCGTTTCATTTGACTCCAAAGGTCTGAGAAGTCTGTAAGTGACCCAGGTTATATCTATCTCCATAGTGAGCATGTCTTTTAGGAAGAGCTTTTGATACAGGACTGAAAACTTTAAACATTGGTGAATGTTCACTTCAGACTCCTTTCACCAAGGAGAATGGATCCCACAGAAAACAACCTCCCTGGACCCAATCATTTCCAAAGCCTTGAATTTTACAGAAGCCTTATTCCACAATACATCAACATTTAGTCTTCTACTCCATGGCTCAGGGGGGTCTCATTCCTGATTTATTCAAGATGGGCGAGGAGACCAAGTGGCTGCTAGAGAGTAAACTAGTGTGTGTGGAAGTTAACAGGCTCCCATTTTTATTCCTTTTTTCAGGCTGTTCAAATCAGTGTATGTCATGGGGCTTGGGAGACTGCTCTCTGATATAAGGTTTGCTCAAATATATGGTGTGTGTGTGTGTGTGTGTGTGTGATGCACACATGCATGCATGCATATTTACTGTCTTAATTTTGCATGGGATGAAGGATTAACATTTTACAATCTTCAAAACCTAATCTCACCCAAGAGGCATGAATTTCCCCTCTTCAAACACATCAAAGGACAAAGCAGGCCACATAGAACTGTTCCCACTGATCCACTGACCAACATTACACACACACACACCAAGCAAGGAAGGAATTCAGGCAATTGACAGTAGCCTGTGTGTGCATGTGTTCACACACATATGT